AAGCCGCGGCCACCAGGACCAGTTGGAAACTACCGTGGTTTCACCGCCACTACCCACTTTCATTCACGATCACCTTTGACAAGTTTCAAAAACCCCCTAAACCTCCGCCGCCTAAAATCACGCCTCCTCGAACCAAAGACGACCAACTCAAATTTAAGCGAGAATTCGCGGAAGCATTCGCGCACGTAACGCAACAGCCAGTCCACTTCTTAGGCACTGCCCCTGTGTTGGACGCGCCTTGCATATACACAGACGGTGCTTGCCCTGATCAATATAATGTTCAATTAGGCAACCCCGCCGGATGGGGCTTCGCAATCCATCACAACAATACCTGGACGGACTCATGGGGCCCAGTGGGCCACAACTTAGAGCTCCAAGTCGTGGGCTTTAACAATACCGCCGAGCTCCAGGCCCTATTAGAGGCACTGGATTATGTCGCCAGACACAAAACCCATCTTTCGATTTCTGCTCTTAACGTTTATACTGATTCCCAGCTCGCTTACGATTTTCTCCATGGCCTTTCCATACCCACGCAACACCTTCAACTCTTAACCAAACTACGCATCCTCCTGGACCACCTTCTATCCAGTATCACCGTATCGCTAATAAAAATCAAAGGACATTCGGGCCACGACGGAAACGAACGCGCCGACGCCTTGGCCAAGAAAGGAGTTACCTCCTTCTCCACAATCGGGAGGCATTCCTACCCTCCTCGACAACCCTTGAGCGATACCATACGTTTTTCCACCCCACCCCTATTTGAGAAGCTTTCGGTAGAAGAACAAGCCACAGCGCTCCAGGAAGCCGCGCTGAAGATGGCGCCCCGCACTAAACAGGAACGCACCCACCATAAAGAATACCTATCGGAACCGACCAAACGACTTATCGATCGCATTTCCTCGACTCCCCCGGATGACCACGAAGCTTTGCAAAAACTCCGAAAAGCCATCAAAAGACGTGCCCGTAAAGACAAAAAACAACATCTGTGCGATAACCTGCTCCAAGACTCTAAAGGCCCCCCTTCAAAGCAATGGTCCACTCTCAAATTTGTACGTAAGGATTACACACCAAGAACTCAAGGAATTCGCAAACCTAATGGCCAGATGTCCACCAAAGCCGCTAAACCCGATGTTATGGCTAGCCATTTAGCCACTAAAGTCTGGAATCATAGAAACCTCCCTGAACTCCCTTCCGACCCTATTTTCCCCCCAGCTCCCATTGACACCAGTCCATTTACGGAACCCGAATTATTAAGGGCGCTGGCGCCTCAAGAATCGCAAAGCCCCTGGCCCCGATCAATTGCCGGCGGAAATTTGGAAGTTCGCGCCCAGATCGGTTCATGTTGCGCTACTGGCGCACTTTAACAAAACTTTTACGCAGGCAATCTCGCCTAAATCCTGGAAGGTTGCAGACATAGTGATGATCTTTAAGGGTAAAAAGAAAGACCCCACTCTCCCTACAAGCTACCGCCCCATCTCATTGATCAACACGGTTTACAAGTTGTACGCTTGTCTTCTCCATCACAGATAATAAACGGCTATTGATGACCGTATCTCGCCGGTTCAGTTCGGTTTTAGAACCGGCAAATCCACCTCTACGCCTCTATTCGTCCTTCGACGATTGCTTGAATTACATGCAAGACACCAGGAATCCTTCTATGCTCTGTTCCTGGATTGGTCACAGGCTTTCAACTCAGTCTCCCACCCAGCGTTGCGCAACGCACTGCAGCGAGTAGGTCTCCCCGACACATTCATTAATCCGGTACTGTCAATCTACGAAGAATGCCATTTTCGAGTGAAGGACGCGGGCTATACGTCCCGCCCGCAAGCCTTCGCCCAGGGCATCCGCCAGGGATGCCCTTTATCGCCGTATTTGTTTAACATTACCCTTTCAGTGCTTTTTCATGATACGTACACAGCGTACGTGGCAGAGTATGGCCCCCGACCTTCAGTACTTACTACTGATTTTCGCCTTACAGATATAGAGTACGCCGACGATACAGTTTTATTATCTCGCACGAGACTGTCCCTACACCGTTTTCTTCACACATTACAGGCCCACTCTTACAAAAGGGGCATGTCCTTGAATCACGAGAAGTGCCAGCTTCTCTGTATCAACACTGATTTGCCCGTATATCTAACTGATACCACAACCCACCCTTGCCGATGTGACTTCTGTTGCATGAGAAGCAACCCACAGCTACCCCAAGAACTCCGCATAGATCCTAAGCCCCAGGCCGATTACTTAGGAGCTGTCCTCACTCATAACTCAGCCACCAAAGCGGACGCTAAAAAACGATATGCGCAGGCCTCGCACGCGGCCAAATGTCTACATGATTTCTTTAGGCACCCCTCCATAACCATTAAGCGAAAGCTGCTAGTTCATTCCCAGATTGTGTTGGCCATCCTTCTGTATGGCTCGGAATCACAGATGTATTTACAACCTGACCTTACTAAGCTGAACAAGCTACACTACAAGGTCCTTAGACAGATCTTCAACATCAAAAGCTCCTTTTATCATAAAGTCTTGGAACCATCGGAGGCAGAATGCTCCAACGAATATTTATCCCAGCTTGCCTATGAGTACGCCCCCAAACTTCTGTCCCCGTCACAGAATATCATCTCAACCCGGATCTCTTATCTCGGGCATATCCTCAGACATGAAGATTCAATCGAACACATCTCCACCTACCAAACAGCACATGCCTACAGACGCCTCCATAGGAAAAGACTTGGCCACACTCGCATACATTGGGCCGAATTGACCATGACACAAGCGTACCAACGCTATCAAATACTTTCCACGAATTCCCCTATTCCCCGCCCCTACCAAATACACCACGATATCTATATCACCATCCTACAGAAAGAGAGGTGGCTGCTGCCCATTCCAGATTTTTTGGTAATACGGACCTTTGGAGGACCCTACAGCCGTTAGCTCAAAACCGTAGATCCTGGGCTCAGTTAGAAGTTTTACGTTAATCAGCTGAAAGGGCTGCTGACGAGTAGTCTCACTTGTGGACTTGCTTTGCGCGACTGAGAGAGAGAGAGAGAGAGAGAGAGAGAACCATGGTGTTGCTGTGCCGGCGTGGGGTGAGCTGCTCGCTGAACCACCGCCCACGGCCGAAACGGATCCCGCGCTGCACGAGCCAGCCGACCTCGCGCACGGTTGGCAGAGACCAGCTTCCAAGGCTGTCGACGAAGCTCTCCTTTCAGATTTCACCTCCGCGCTTGATGAAGTGTTCGTTGCATTAATATTGCATTGCTCCACTCCCAAGGCGTTTGTTTTGCCGGCCATGTGTACACCGACCCCCCACGTGCCCGGAGCTGCGCCTCGATTCAGCGGCTTATCGGGTTCTCCTGCTCCTGCTTCAGCGCCTCCCACTGCCTCTCAATGCTGCGGCGTGCCGTGCGGCATTCATTTTGAGTCAATGGGCGATCACCTGGCAACTTGCCCCACAGTCGCAGCCAATGCTTTCCCTCGCGAACTTAACATTGCCACCCGGCTGCACGACAACCAACATATTTAGGTTATCGCCAATGGGCTACTTCTCTCGGCCTCCAGCTCGCCCTCAACACTACCGTCGCCCCGGCTCTCGATGCGCGAGGCCGCCCGCGGCGTGGTGTTTGGTCCATGCCGCCGTTGGTGCGCCAGACGCTTTCCCGTTGGGTGACGTGTTGGACTTCGCAATAGCGAGCGCCCAAAGCCGGCTGCCGTTTCGCTAGCACCCCGTGGGCTTCCTTGTAGTTATACCCACGGAGGAGCACATTGTGCGGACGTTAAACAGTGCGGAAAACAAGACATAGTGAAGGGCTGACCTGCCCAGAACTGTTGCGCACCCGGCGGTGCCGCCTCGACATGGCGCAACTGCAAAAATCTGCAAAACAGTTCTCTTGTCGTCACCGCTTTGCAACGAAATACCATGCACCAGCGGCGACATGCCCATCCTGAAGGCGCAAGGAGCGAATCTTCTTCTTTTCGGCGCTGATGTTTTTCCCGCTTTTTTCGTCCGCGACAAAGTTTAAGGCCGCTGGTAGGCCACTACGGCATCGACCCGGCGCGCCTCGACGACTGCGCATTGACGTCATTGCCCATCGCTTGCCGATGTATGGTGGTGCCCAGCTCGCAGTCGACACACTTTCGCGGCTTGTCATGGCGCCCGCCCAGTAACCTCGTGCGCGTCGCTACACGGAGTACTGAAAATTTCGTTGACTTGGGCAAACATGACGCCCTAGCTGAATGTGTGATGAAGACAGGATTGGGCATCCTCTGCATGCCCGAAGCAAAGTTTAGGGGCTGTAAGGAAGATTTCGCGAAATAGGGTTTCTATGTTCCGCGAAAAACACCCCCTGTCGTTCAGAATGTCATCCCTTCTTCCTCCAGACTGCACCGTCGATGCTCCAGGACGCGCCAGATCTCAAGCGCAAACCAAAAATTTGTTCTGGGAGGGCCTTCCTGATTATCTGAAACAGCTTCCCCGTACCGGCACCATTCTCCTGCCAGGGGTGTTTCATGTGCCTACAGTCGAAAGAAGACAAGGCCGACCACTCGCAGTACATCGGCCCACCAGTCCTTCCCACCAATTCACGGTTTCATGAAACAACAACTTATGAATTTCTGATTGAATTCATTATAGCGGAGGACTTCCTCCTCGCCTCTTCGACATTTACACGGCCAAACTCCAAATTGGTTACATACCGAAAAGTCAACTCCAGCCCCACAGCCACACCTTCGTCAAAAACTAAGAGTAATTAGCATGATTTTTACGGTCCTGTTGGACATGGTTTCCCTTTCGTGCCGCAGGGCTCCAGCAGTACTGCCGAGTTACAATGTCGAATTGGAGCGCCGGATTACATGTGTAAGCACCCCGGTGAATTGACAAATATACCGGTATCTATATATGTATGTATGCACATTTGCAGACTCCCAGTTCGTTTACAATTTCTGCCACGGCATGATAATACACCACTCCCACTCACAATTATCGAGCAGTTCCGATCCTATCCGATATGCAAATTCTCGCCAATTGACTTTGCCATCCTGACAGTAAGTGGCCAGGCCGGTATCACCGGCAACACTAAGACCGGTAGACTCGCTTTCAGGCGTTCTGCCTCTTCATCCCAGCTTGGACGCAGTTTGGACGCCACACCCTTCCAGCTCGCACCAGCGCCGGCGCTGTTCCAATACACCACTAGTGCTCCCCCAACCCTAGCCCTGCGCGAAGGCACCAACTCTGCACTGTACGTGCCTTTGCTACTTGACGGGGCAGGCTTGCTCACGGCACAGGCGCAGCTCGCCTGGCGCTCACGCGCTCCCATCAGCGAGTGGTGGCCTGCCGCGGTCGAGGCGCTGCGGCGCCCCTTCATCCCCGTCGACGAGCTCACGCAAGCACTTGAGCACGTTGCTCGCGCTTTCGCGCCCCCGGTCCTGCAATCGCCTTCGGTTCAACGCTTCCGGGCCTGGGCCGGAGCACGGGCTGGTCGAGTGAGTCGCCGCGCCACTGCCAGAGGCGTTGCTTACCCTGTTAATTGGCCCGCCGGCCGTCGCCACCCTCACACGCTTCATTCTGACGCTTCGTACCCGGCCTCCTGACGCACCTGACCCGCCCCCACATCCCGGAGCCTCTGCCGACGCTGCTGCGCCTGCAGCCGTGCGCCAGCGGAGTGACGGACGCCGGCTGGCGGAAATGGATGGTCCAGCTCCCGCGCCCGAAGCAGACACTGCTGCGGATGGCCCCAGCCTCAATCGCGAATGCACTGCCGCGCAACGCCGAGTCGCCGCGGCAGAAGACGGCATGCGCATTGGCGTAGCTGCCTTGGATGACCTTACCCTTGCCTCGAGGACATCTTCCGCTGCCGCACTCTCACCCTTCAAGGCGTCCCCGCCCGCTTACACGGGGCCCTCTGTACGGCCATGCGGACTTTGCTCGAACTAGTCTCGGAGCGAGTTACCCCAGCAGGAGCTCCGAGACTGGAAGCTCTTCCTTCTTGCTCCGCCGCATCTTTCTCCACCGCGCCGCGGGTGAGGCGCGCACCCCCTCTGCGGAACTGGCACTGCGTTGCGAGGTTTTGGTGCGTGGGGAGTGGTTGAGTCTCCTTCATGCTGCTGCCCGCACTGCCGAAGCCCTGCACCTCGCGGCCGCGCGCTCTGCCTCAGGACGTCGAAGCCAGATCCCGCCGCGCTGCAGCTTTAGTACACCTCAGGGAGCTGTCTGCCGCAGGTCGCGCCCTCACCGCAGAGCCCGTCACCCCTCCCACCAACACGACTCTCGCCGAGCTCCGGGATCCTATGCGGCGCCTGCCCGAGCCGCACGGTCCCGTACCGAGGTCACCAGCTATCAGCCCCAAGGGCCATGCCCGTTCCCGCTGCCTGCCTTCCTCGCCGGCCTGCGGAAGGCAAGGGCGTGGAGCTGCGGCTGGCCCCTCTGGAGCTACCAACGAGCACTTTCGCATCCTCTTGGACGACGAGGTCGATAGCCAACTCCTGCATTGCGCCAAGCAGTGCCTTGCACAAGCCGACGTGCCAGCCGCGGCCCTCGCTGCACTCCGCGTCGGAAGAACCGTCGCTCTGCGAAAGTCGGATGGACGCGGCATCCGCGCCCTTCTGGTTGGCGACGTTCTGCGGCGACTTGTGAGGCGGGTGTTCGCGCAGGCGCGGGCTGCAGCTGTTTACGCCGCTTTGCGCAACGCCGCCCAAACTGCCTGGGTTCTCCGCTGGAGTGGACTCATCTCCGTTGCGGCGCAGCGTGCGCTCGCAGCCACCTTCCTTGAATTACTTCAACGGACGAATTTTAGAATAAAAAAAAAAAATTTAGAGTGGCCCGTTGTTTAGATGCGGTCCTGTGTTGTCCTGCTGGCTGGTCACAAGGATACCGTCTTTTGTCCTCTTTGATCTGTCTACGACAAGCTTTTTCAAAGTTTTTTGTACCGTCGCCGTGTCCGTAAAGGATGTATTTTCGATTTGTTTAATGAAAGTTTTGGACTGAGTGGAATTTTTCCTGTTTGTATTTCTCGGGTTCAGCCGGCTGGAGGTGAGGCGAAGCTGCCAGGACTTGTTGTCCGTGACCGCAGTATGAGTAAACGAGTTGCGGGAAAAGGGGACGCGTTTTTTTTTGGCACCTCTTTGCTACTGCACGTGAAAGAGGTGCAAGTCCCAGTGCCAACTGTAGCATACGGCGGCAACTCGCGACTCACGCACGGGCAGGGAGGCGGCTGGGCTCAGGAGCCTCTTCCCAACGAGCGTCTGCAAGGAGCTCGTGCAAAGCTGGTGGCGGGCCAGCAGCTTACACCCCCAAAACCCAGGGGGTGTTACAACCCAACGGCAAAATTTGCTTCACATCCCAAAATGCCGAAACGTTGGCCAAATACCTCTCGAGAGACGTTTGGGGCCACGAAAATGCCCCCCCAATTGACACCCAGACACTTTATCCTACAGCTGATATCTCCCACTCCCCTTTACGGTGGCCGAGTTGGACGCGGGAATCCACCGCATGAGACACTAAAGGGCACCAGTTCCAGATAGTATTCCAGTCGAACTCTGGAAACTTGCCCCCCGCCGTTTTCGTTTCTCACTCCTTGCACGCTACAATGAAATGTTCTCCCAGGCCGTGGACCCCTCGGATTGGGGACCGGCCATAGTGATTATGATTAACAAATTAACAAGGTAAGAAGAAGTACCCAAAATCTCGTTCGAGTTATCGCACCATTTCCCCTGTTAACACTGTTTATAAAATTCATGCTTCTCTTCTTCATAATTAGCAGTATCAAAGACGCCATCGACGACGGTATCTCCCCGTAGCAGTTCGGCTTCAGAGCCGGTAAATCCACCAGCACTCCATTGGTTGTAATCCACAGTTACTATCCATTATAAGGTGCTGCGCAAAATATTTGCCATCAAAATTTGGTTTTACCACCGGGTACTTGCACCTACAGATGAACAATGCTCCAACGAATATTTGCTTAACCTAGCATACGAGCGCATGCCGAAACAAAAATCCTTTTGCATTGCAAAACATCCAATCTGCTCGTATCGCCTGTTTAAGCTATCTGCTTTGACATGAAGCCCAGCTAGAAGTTATTTTTGTTTCAATAGTGAACACAACTACATACAGCGTCCCCAGCGCAGGGCAAGAGCTCCGCGTATTCATTGGGCATTGCTTCAACGGCTCGTGCCGCCTAGGGTTTTCGAACATTCGCATCTTTTTATGCTCAACCTTCTAGACAGCTCATCTTTTCTGTAACACAGACATGCTCCGTACCTTACAACCCTATCTCTCAGGATCGATCCCAATGGAGGCGTGCACCCCAGATAATTTTTCGAAATGCGCTTGCTTGCTAGACAAGGCTGCTGACAGGCGGTCTAGACTTGGACTCACTTTTCGCTTTCGAGAGAAAGAGGGAGAGAGACAAAATATTGGATGGGGTAGCGCACCTGCGCGGGGCAGGAGGACTCCTAGTGCATTGAACTCCGAGCAAAGCAGAGAGAGAGAGAGAGAGGCACGTATGAGACCGGTGCGCCTAAGGGCGCGGGGGGCGCTTGCGTGCTCCTTTGTCCGATTGCAAGGAAGGCACGTAAAACCGTGCACACTTCCAACAGCACAGGCTGCCCCAGCAGGGGCATGCCTTCAAGCCTGGAGAAAGAAACAGAGAGAGAGGCGTTCCGACATCGAAACGCATGATAGTTGTTATGTTCGTGTCGCCAAGCGCACCACAACAGAGCAGGTAGTGCAGTGCGGCTGGTGCACCGACTCGCAAGGACACAAAGCTGCCAGCGCACGTCGGCTAGGGCGCGCACCCGCCGAAGTTGCATGAACTTGCCAGCTGGAGCCCGCGAGAGCACACTGCACAGCCACGGCTAGGAAATGCGATTGCCCAAACCTCCTCTGACCTGCACGGCAGCGACAGGCTAGCTGGCAGCGCTGAACGCGCATCAGCTCCAGTGTCGTTTCCATATGACCCCAGTCTTAAATAAGTACTGAAGGAGGGGTTGGTTGATGGAATAATTTCTGCGAAAAGCGTTTTTCTGAGCATGTTGACAATGGCATGGGGTGGGTGGGGGGGGGGGGAGGGGGGTCCGGAATAATTAAACTTGGCAACGCTCGGACCCGGGTTGCGTCGGGTTTGTAGGTTGAGTGATCTTTGGGTTTTTCTTTCTCTTTAATTTCTACACATATTTATAGAACTATGTACATACGTACATACATACAATGACTTCGTGGGTCCAGGGTTTTTGAATTCAGGCTTTCTGGGTTCAGGGTTTCTGGGCTTGGGGTTTTGGGTTTGGTCGTTAGGGGTTCAGGTCAACAAGCTGGGGGCCCATGGGTAGCGAAACTTAGGCAACCCTCCCATTCTCAGCTCGAGAACTTGGGGTTCTTCAATGGTCTCTCGGCAACCCTTGAAACTCAGCTCGAAAACCTGCCAACCCCCAAATCTGGGGTTCCTCGCATCCAACCTGGAGGTCATGGGTCGTGACAACACCCACCCAAGTATTCGAAAACTTGAGGTGTCTCGAAAATCTGGAGGGTTGTTTTGGTTTGAGGTGGGTTTTAGCAACCCCTCAATCTCAGCTTGAGAAGCTGGGGTTCCGCAGGGGTCTCGGCAACCCCCCAAATCTCAGCTCGAAAACTTGGGGTTCCGCCTGATCTCCACGTTGTTACCGGGGCCGTTAAAGGACCCGCAAACTGCTACTGGAACGGCTAGACCTGGGCCCCGAACAGACCGGCAACCCGGGTCCGGAAAATTATTCCGAACGTCCCCCACGTCACGTCCAGGAAAAAATTCACGACCCCCCCCGAATAATTAGTCATTTTGACTCCCCCCATGACACCCCCTTAAGACAGGGGTCATGTTTCCATCATGCGGCACGGTTACACAATGATTTCCTAAGAAACAACAATTTGCATGTTGGAAGTTGGAAGCATGTGGAACTGCAGCTTTGTAGTTGAAATGTGCATGGGGGGGTTGCATCTATGATGGCAGAGAGGCCGTAGCTTACGGTGCATTGGTGGAGTGTGCTTGTTTGTTACAATGCACGCTCAACTTGACCAGGGCGGACGTGCACATTGCACCATCATCATCCATGCCGGACTCTTGTTTGTCTTTGTATCGTCCGAATTTGGTTCAACTGCCGGTTGTAAAGGCCAAATCTGCTCCCAGCTGGGGCGAGTCGTCTTCCTGCTGGTGCTCGCTGGGTAGCCGCCCGTTGGGGTCCTGGTTCGGCAAAGCAGCATATTGGCTGCTTCCTGACGTTGCACGGCCGTGTATTGGTGCTCACAGGTGGCAGCGGCCAGTTTCATTTTCTCAATGCAGACCATGTGATCCATGACAAACAGCATGAGGCACGACCTCGGATGCATATTACGCTGAGTACGTGTATCGTGAATGATGTCAGGCTTCGCAGCAGGCGATGTGGAACCAGCGCCGCTCTCTCCAGGCTGGGCACCGGCCACAGTCCGTTCGTGGCTGTTTCGCCCCTGTATTTGGGAGGAAGAAAACAGGCAAAGAAGCAGTCGACTTTTGGATCATTTCTCGGACGATTTGTGCTTGGCTTGGCCAATCGACAGAACGTGATGCGGGCGCCGCAGACAATTGATGTGGGTCTGAGGTCACAGACGACGCAAGAGAAGGCCACGTGATACAGACCGAGTGCCATGTGCAAGATGCGGGTGATAATGGCTCATGCCTCTTGGCCAGTTGCTGGCCGTTCGATCTGCAACATATGACATCAACGGCAAGGCTGGCATTTCGTTCCTGCTTCGTTTTCTGAAACAGGCAGGTTTTGGTTGGCACGCAGGTGTTCGCCGCTGGTAAACAACCTACTGCGCCGCCCAAACAGAGCGACCGGGGGCACTGGTTGACACAGGCTCGTGATCTGTTGCGCAACCATGTATGCACCGGACGATGCCATTGATTTGAGCTTGTTTTCAGGTCAACGGTTTAACCAACCGCTACAATATTATCAATGGCATGTCGTGAGAGCCTTAATTATGGAATGTGGCATTCATTCGTGTTTGCATCATGCTAGGGGCTTCTGACATGCAATCAGAACCATGTCCCACACGAAGTTCCGACAATGCCCAATCAGGATGAACCCTTCAATTGCTCGCCATCGTGATGCAGAGCTGCAAAGGTCTGCAGGAGGTTAAGCATTGGATCTTTCGCTGTGTTTGGCATCATCGCAGGCTTTCGCAAACGTTGTCCGGACTTCCCGCCGGAAATGTCCAACCTTTGCGTCACACTCTCAAGCAAGGATTCGATCATGGAAGACACGGCGGTGTGTGGCGAGACAGCAAGCCAGGTGATGTGGCTTGTTACGACATTCCGGGCTTTGTGCCGCTCAGGCCAGTGACATGCTGTGGCACCCTGTCTGGTGGCCGGGACGCATCGCAAGTGTTTGTCGCTTTGCTAGGCAACGACATCTGCCGGGAGAGGTCGAGCGAACGTACACTTTGAATAGCTGAGCACCCTGCATGCTTTGTTTCGGGATCCGCATTAAGGCGGTTCCATGAATCAAGTAACAATCAGCGCCACTTTCCTACAACAAGATCATCTGTTTTGTGGACCATCGGATTCAATAATTTTCACTACTTTCCTATCGTCGGGTTTTGATGATGAGACAAGGCGCTCCCAAATGAGGCAACCCAGATTGCAGTGCTGCACCGCGAAGCGATCAGCACCAGTTTGTTGCGAGTAGTTGCCACTGTGCCGGTCGGAAAACCAAGAACAAGAAGACTTCAGAACAGTGAGATGGAGCTCATCAGCATGGGGGCAAGCCAAGCTAGTTTAGCAAACGTTGGCAATGTGCCTGGAACCACCGAAGCCACCGGCAGGCTTTCAAGCAGCGAGGGCTCGGGAAAGCCGCAGGCGATAGAATGGGCCTATTTCGGCAGCCTTTCCGATGAGAGCATTCTTCATGGTCGACAAGTTGCCATATAGGCACTGAGTTTATTGGTGGAATCATGTTGCGATGCCCCTCGTTTGCCTTGCATGTTCTAGGCCATGATGCTTTCCGCTCCGTCTGGAATGCTGATTGCCGAACGGGCTGGTGCTGGTTTCACGTGCACGTCTCAGCCTACACTTACACGCATTCTGAACGACCACGCCTGAGTCGATTCTCATTTCAGGTTGCATCGGTCGGAGACAGTTGCTGGAACCTGATATGTCTCACCAACACTTCTGCCGGATCTGGATTTGGGGCGGTGCTAGGCACATTCTGCCGGGCTGTGCCGGCCTTACTCTGCTTGATGGCATCCGAGCTTTCGCAATCGACGCAAGCTTCGCATCAGCTGTATCTTGTTCGGTCGGAAGGGTCCCCGATCATCCTGCAGTTCTATGGCATAAAGGTTGCATCATCTCGCTTGAGATGATGACGATCCAGCGAGAGTGACGATGTGACAATGACGATCGTTGTGGTGAGCAAGTGGCGGATGGCATTGAGCATGATGATTCTGGCTAGGAGCATGATGGGGCTGATGCGGTGATGATGACGATGTCGTGGATGTTCTGTTTGTTGACATGATACCCTTTACGGTGCTCAGAAGAGCAACGAGGCAAGATTATTATTGGTGCCATTTGGTGCCCCATGACAAACTCATCTTCGACCGATCTGTTCAAAATATGCCAGCTCAGAAGAATGTCCCCCAAGGTTGGATCGCAAAAACTTTGCTGCGTCATCTCGGGCACGTAGCTGAATTATTGCGGAGTATAGAATTGAGTTTACAGTTTAGACACATTGTTTACACTCCTGCGTTGCGCAGACAGCAAGGCTCGCGGGCGATCGGAGGGCTTTGCCTGCAAGCATAGCGATGGCTACAAGCCTGCTACACAGCTGGAGTCACCCCGCCTTCGGCACTTGTGGAGATTGAACGTCCATGAGGCCTCTAGGTGCACCGGTACCGTCGGAGAGAGTGGTCGAGATGCACAACTCCACGTTTGCCAAGGCTACGCCGCAGGAGACAAACCTCATATCCAGTGGTGTCGAAGCCGCCAGGTGGACAAGATCAAGCAGACTGTGGGGCGCGAGGCCTGCATTCCATCTTAGAGTGCTTGTCCAGCTGTCTGGGAGCTTTGCTTCAGACCGGCTAGATTGAGGCCAGCTCGCAGCATCAGAACAAGAAAGACAAAGAGCGAACGCGCCGCGGATGCCCGAGAGATGAGTCGACCAGTCGTGGGGTGCCAATATAAAAACATGTCGTGTGCACCTGTACAGGCAAGGAGCAAGAACTTGAACGGCTAATTCTGATGGACTCGCAGGCTGCAAATAGCTTGACAACACTGCATCGTTTCAGCCACTGTCATGGGGGCTCACTGGGGTATTCTCATGGAGGATGTCATCAAGGACGAGCAGACAGTTGCGGAAGAAGTGGGCTTAGAGGCCTTTACCTTCGCTTTGACTGTGGTCTTTGCAAATCGAAGTGGATGCGTGCTACCGGAGGCAGACCGGAAAGGCACACAAAACCTTTCTCGCCTTCCTCATGCACTGTATGGGACCGAAGGGCTTTGCAAGATGCCGTGGATTGCCCTCTTCGGCTCAGATCCAGATTTGGGCGCTCGTTCGCAGGAATGATTTGCCCCGATGTGGACAAGCCCAGGAACGGCAGGCGAAATGCTTCACACGGATAATGACTAATTTTCTTTGGAGCGGCTGCACGATCTTGAAGCATCCCGGGCGCCTCTTCGCAATATGTTCGGAATCTTCTGTCCTGACGAAAGGAGAAAGATGGGTTTAAGGAATTGCCGGGCTCCCACACTGTACGTGCTGTATCGATGACCGTACAGAACAGCTGTGAGCAAGGAAGCTTCACATCAGAAGCTCATACCGAAGAGTTGAGCAGGCCGCTGCCTTTGTCCTTGTGTTAGTAAGGTGTATTTGTTGTATGGTGTCTGTTCAGGTGAGGGCTGATTCAGATGCCGCCTACGAGGTGAGGACGTAAAACGAATGCGCCCCGCTCTGCCTGGCAACACGTGTCTGTAGGCCAGGAGCGACAACGTGCAGTTGGCGCTGGCATCCTCCAGGCTTCTTGTCGGCTGCCTGTGTGCTCTACATGATTTGAAGCGACTTTTTTGTCCTGCCAGGCAGTGGGGAGAAGCTTGCAGCTCAGACATGCCAGACTTTATCAAAGGCACTGCGCTCACTCACCGCCACGCACAGGCGCAGCTCGAAGACAGTGGAAGCGCATTCCTCACGTGCCAGCCTCTGTGCCCCTTATGCAAAGTGCCATAGCCATAGCCTCTTCTCACGAGTGTTTTGCAGATGCCGCTCTGATTCTAGATGCCGTCAGATCTAGGTCTCTTGAGCTTCCCCAATCTGCACGGGACCATCGCCCAGTGCCCTGCCACCGTCAAGTCAGATGCTCCAACTGCATCTTACTTCAGGATACAAGTACCTTTGGTGAACTGGGCAGGTCAAGCCACAGCAGCCGCAGCCGCTCTCAGCGAGAAGAGCGCAAGGACAAGTCCAACTACCCAAGGCTGCAGCACACGCAAAATGCAACAAGCTGCTTCAATCCTCGAGAGGTCTCCCCAAAGCGCTTGACAAACTGGCTGCCATCCCTGTCCGAGTACTTGGCAAGCCTCCCAGCTAGGAATTCCCGACCTAGTGCCAGCAATCATCTTGGAGAGGCATCCAATGGTGCCGGGGTGCCGGACTTTGCTTGCTCGAGGCATCATAAGTATGTTGTTGAAGGCCGCTTGCTCAGGCTCCAGCAGCTGCTGGGGTGGAGAGGGCAGAACCTGCAGAGGGGGTCAGGCGCTTTTGCTGCGGTGTTCTTCTTGTTAGAGGGCGTGAAGAAACTGTAGCAGATGCCATTGCAGGTATAACGAGGAATTAACCAACAAGATTGTCTCGGAGCTTCTTCCACTGCCTGAAGGCAATATTTTCCCGTTGTTTTACTCGGTTTGGCAGAGCAGGGGAGGGGACCGTCTCACGTTCCTGCCATCAGGCACACGCAGCCTGCTTGACCGGTTGCTTGAAGAGCAGCGTAAAGCTGGCGCCGGGAAAGGCTCTGCAGCTTGCTCTTTTGAAGTTTGCAGTCTGGGGTGTTGTGCCCTGACAAGAGACGTTGCAAGGTCGGACGGTTCCGACGTCAACGCAGCGCCGCAAGAAATTCCAAGAGGATGGCATGGCATCAGCGAGCTTGTAATGATATGCATCGTTGTAATTATACGCATCGCTGCCATACATGCATGTGTGTGTATGTCACTACCTCTTCGGTTCAGGGGAGAAGGCCGTAGAACTGTGTCAGTGCCCCTTAACGGGCGGAGGTCTTTGCAGGATCTGAGAGACCTGGACAACTTCACAACACAAGCAAAAACTAAATTAAAGCTTTGTGCGGCCATTTCAGCGGTGTTCTGGCTCAGCCAACTGGCTGCTCTAAGTTACTTAGGGATCCCTGCAGGTGGCAACAAGTCTTGTAAGAGCTGCATGCCCGCAGAAAAACCCAGTTTGTTGCCACGTAAGAGCACTGCCGAAAAGCTTCAACTAGGCCTGCAGGGGTGGGTCTGGGGGGTCTCACCCCGCCCGCTCCTCGAAGGCCGTGATGTGATGAAGATGTTCACTTTCATGTCCGTAGACCTGATTACGTGTGCTTCTGTCTCAGACGTAGAGGGATCCTCCAGACTGCCGGGGGGCCCACACTGCGGATTGAAGCCTGGAATGCGGAGCCCTGCTGCGAGTGGACTGTCTTGACTAGAGTGCAGGGAAGAAACACCACGACACACTCGAGAAAACCGGGACAAAACCCGAGGTGACGTCAGTTAGCAAGCGTACCAACCGCATAAACATGGGATCTTTGCATGTCAATGTGTTTGTTGTATCACGTCGGTAATTTTGCCTTTACGCAAATGCGCAACTGACGTGAAAACTCAGAATGTATCACTCGTGACATACGGGTCGGAATCTGCAGCGCTCACTAAAGGAGACTACCACAGACTCGAAGCATTCCACTCAGTCACTGCGCAAAATCCTGCACTTCAAAAGCACTTACTACACCGAAGTGCTCAACCCCACAGCCCGCACTTACACCAACCAGGAAGTGAGAGCACTCACTGGACAGCCGCCTCCCAACACGCCACATCCACAAAGCTCAGCTGAAGCTTTTCGGGCACATGTTTCGATCCCATCCGAACAGTATAGAACTGAACTGCTGTTTTGCTAGGTCTTTTCAGTACAGAGGGGGAACGGTAGGTGCAGGCCTAAGGCCAGGCAGGCGCAGGGTCCAGTGGACAGAACAGTGCACCAAGCTACTTTGGCACTGGCTTTTGAAGTCCTCAAGACCCCGAGCCACTCACAGCCCTACCTTCCCGTACTCCTATCTACAAGCTCACAGAACAGCTGTAGACCGCCGTGCCAGACACTCCCAGAAGCACACTCCTACACAGTCTCCTCACAGACCTGAGTTTCTTCGGAGTTGCTGCTGAGCGAGTTGCATAGGGCCGCCCAAAAAATTTCAAATGCGCAAGTATGAAAATGCGCAAGCGAAACTTAAGTTTCGAGCGGAGGTGAATCTGCCGAGTTCAGAATGCTGCTATAACATGCTGGCACGAACATGTCATGTGTTTGGAACAGCTTCCAGGAGCTTGTTGCTGCATGGAAGCCAGAAACACTTGAGAGGCTGGTGTCGGCAGTGGCATGCTGTGCTTTGCTGTGCTTCATGCCTGGCATGGCAAGCACGCTGAGGTGCAATCCCTGCGTGCCCTCAAAAGTTGCCGAGGAGATGCGGCAGCGATGTGCCTTGCTTGAACAGCACGGCACAACACAGTTGCCTATTTGAGCTGAGGGAGACATGAGCAGCAGTTTCTCATTGAGCAGTGCAAGCGTTTGCTGCAACGGACGTACCCCTCTTACTTGTTGCTGATGACTGCAAGCCTAGATCATGGGGACGAGTACCAGCTGGCGACCGTTGAACGCATCCTCAAAGATTTGCTCATTGGCGGCAAGATTGCGGCACGGGTGACCGTGCCGGTTCTTACCGACTGACAGGGTGGTCAACGAAGAGCAGAAGGGCCTGCCTGGTACAGCGGAGATGGAACGGGTTTGAACCTCAAGAATGCTTGACTCATCGCAGACAGTTACCTGTCCTAAGATCGGCCATGGATTCCGTAGATCTCGTGGCAGGCATCCAGCAATCCGGTGGATGCTAGTGTCATGTCAGGGCCTGCAGGTGTTTCGGCAGCATGTGTGGGGACTTGCACGGTATTTCGTTTGCTTTTGGCTGTTTTGGTGCCTCAGCAGGTGCGAACAAAGGACCCACAAGTCCAACGCAAGATGCTGTATTCAGCTCAGAGAAACTCGGTCTTGTGCCCTGATGACGTGAGTCTTGGATGTCGCGCAAGAATGCCTGTCAGGGTGGTCACATGTGCGAAAGCGTGCTTATCTTCTGCCACCTTGGATCAACAGGTAGTAGGCTTCACCCCGACGGGTGATAGCGTTGCGACAGGCCTTCCTGCAGTGCCGCAGCCGAAACGGGCCACGGGCCGTGAGAGTGAGAGGTGGAGCTTCTCCTGTTGGCAGGCGGGGGCCCGGCGGGGGCCCGGCGGGAAATGGCTGGAGCGGAGTCTGTTCGACATGCCCAAACTTTTTGGGTGGATGCGAAAGTGGCTGGCTTCTTGGAGCCCTTCGGTTCAAAGATGATGCTTGCCCAGGCCCAAGGGAGTTTTCCTGTCAAGGGGCCAGGGCCGACTTTCAAGTTTCCTTCGCCAGGCCCAGCTGCAAGACTACATCGTCAGATTGGCCGCGATACCGGCCGTTCAGGCACCTCTGGAGTACATCGCCGAGGCCCACGTCGCGCCAGAGTGAGATGTGTGACCCCAGCAATGTGAGAGCCCCTACAAGGTGGGCATCGTGCAAGACGTGTCTCATGCGGCCCTGGGCCAGCGGAAGATGTCACCAGAAGCTGAACTGAAATACTCAGCTACATCCTGTGAGCTATGTCAAAGCGCCTCTCAGGAGACCATGCTGTGGTTGTTTCTCATGCTAGCGGGCTTTGTCAGAATCTCAGACTCTGCAAATATTGGATGAAGGAAACGAAGTGGGTTAGCACTGGCCGAACGACTCCTGACAGTGCAGGCCCTGCTGGCACTGGTAGTTGTTCCGAAGGCACGGAAGGCTTGTTCCAAGCAGGCTCATCCTTGCCATTCGCAGTTGCAGGCGAAATTGCAGGTGTGGTCTTTTTTTTACTTCTTCTTGGCGCGCTTCTCTTCCGCAGCTATCCGTGATCGTTGTAGGGTTGCCGGATCATTCCGCTTGAAGCCAGTCTCCCAGCAATTGCATGCTTGACAAGGTGATAAGAAGTTCGGCACTCAGCTATTGTTGCACTGTGGTGCATCTTTCTTGCAGTGCTTCCCCCTGCTTTTGATCATGTGCGCGACACCTTGAAGGCCTTGTAAACCCACGGACATGAAGTTGGACAAAACGTCGCCGAACTGCAAGCGAATGAAGATTCTTGCCTCCATATGCTTGTACCAACGAAGAGCAAGCCAGTAACAATGTGATGCGAAGGGAAATGGTGAGAGTTCCTGGTGCAGTGCAGGATTCAAGGCACCTCACAGTGGAGGCTCAACCCGATCCTAAGATGTGTTTGCCTGGTATATGCGACTCAATGAGCCATCAAAGACCTGACGCCATGACGCCCATTTGGATAGGACACAGCTTGACCTTCACTCCTGCTTGTGAGTTCTCAGGATTGTCTTCATTCGTCACGGAGAGTCGCAGTGGAATTCTGTCTTTAACCAGGTGGGTGGAAGTAGCTGGTACCCGCATCTCACGTGATTTCGTCCGCCAGTTGTGCGAAGAATGCTGCAGGGCTGGAAGATATTCTTGCCTTTCCGTTTGGTCCGCGGCTTGATTAGAGAGGCCTGGCTCACCTGTCTGTTTGGTGAGAAGCAGCAGTGGAAACAAAGCCGAGCTTTTTGCGACAGGGAGCAATGACCTTTCAGAGAGACTCCATTTTCTACGATTCGCCGCTGAACGACAAGGGCATCCAGCAAGGCTCAACATCGTGCAGAATCCTTGCAGGAGTAGACAAAGAAGCTGCTTTGTGTGTCTCCTTATGAAGCAACAACTCAAGTACTTGGACCTCTTTCGGGGGCGCTGGCTTCTTGGGCTTTCCTTCTATTGTCGTCTTGACTTCAAGGGATATGCGACCGCTTGCTGCCAACGTGAGCACGTGCTTGTAAATGCTTGTCTGGCTACTGCACAGTGGGAACCACTAGTGATGACTGAAAATATAATGAGGACTTGTGCCCATATAGCGTGCTAGCATGTGAAAAGCCGAAACCTTCAGAATCCCCACGCGCGTGCAAACAAAAAGTCATACATACATCATATATACAACAGTGTACAGGAGGATGTTGAGGTACATGCCACATTGCAATTGGCATGAAATACGTTCTTGCCCAACTTGCCCCAGTTGATTCATCTGAAGGTTTAGGATCTCAGAACATTTATTTACCCTTTAGACATATGTTAGGGAACAGCGGCTTTTGTTCCTGGAAGCACGGTCTGCATTCCGTCTCACTCTCAGAAGCAGATGCACGACCGGACGAATACTCACGGCCGAAGATATAATAGCAAGTCGATTGCAGTCTTGAATCGCAAGAAGCAAGATCTAGACTTTCGGTCGAGACTTCAGTTCAACACTCGAAAACATCGATCGTAGCATTTCAGACCATTCTTAAACAAACGCTTAAAACACGCAGCGGTTTTGTTCATAAACCACGGGCCCATATTCTGTGGCACTCTGCAGATTTTAGGTTGTAGGGTTTTAGGGTGGCATCGCAGACTTGAAGGCTTGTTGTAAGCCCCCCGTTTGGTTCCCGGCATATAGGAGTCAGGCTTTTAGGCATTTGGGGCTTCACGGGTTTGGTGTTTGCGAGACCTCGTTTAAAAACATGCTTGCAAGTCAGGGTTTTCGCGTTTTGGGGGTTTACAGTGCAGAGTTTGGGGTGGGTTTAGGGTATAGGCAAAAGGGTTCAGGCGATTGCGCAGGGCAGGGTGAGCATTCACGGCAAATGGCGCAACTAGGACAATTGGGGCGCAAGTGGGAAGGGCGACTGGCGATGACTGGCGCAACTCGAACAATTTTACCATGGGGGCAGCATGGGGCGAAGACGATTTTACTCGGTAAAGTGGGGCGAGTGGGGCAGGATCGAGAAAGCAAACGGTTCCGGTCCGGTCCCCCGGCGCGCCGTGATATTACCGTTCTTCAGAAATAAAGCCAAAATTGTCTTGTGCATCGCCTTCTGGCATGCAAGATGATCTGGCACCACGTTCTGCGCCCAGAGCGTGCTACACAAGATATACCCATAGAATCCCGCAAACGTGGGAGCGAGGAATTACATCTATAATTGTGGCGAAGACCAAAATCGTGCTGGGCTTGCGGAGGCTGAATGGCCCCAAATCTGTGTATGACTTCTGAAGTCACATTGAAGTCGATCGCAAAAGCGCAGGCTTTTCATGCACAGCCCGTTCCAGTGACGTCTTGGAATGCAGTGTTAGCACAGACTGCGACGCGTGGGTGTGTCATCATATGACAGCGAAGTTGAGATCCGCAGGCTGGGATTTGCTGGCGTTCCTGACCTCACAGCCGGCAGGCTGTCGCCGCAGTTCACAAAAGCCTGCAAGGTTGGAATTTCTGCGCCCATGTGTACTGATGCGGTTTCCAGAGGTTGCCGAGACCCTGGATCTTGCCAAAAGCCTGTGGAGCAGTTACAGGTTGAGGACATTGTGCAGGACTTGGATCTCGACTCGAGCGTGATGTGTGGCAACTCAATGTGTGCGCCGCTCCCAGGTTTCAATCATCCGCGGCGATGCGGGTGAAAGTGTTATAGCCACATGGAGTTCAATTTGCCATAACCCTGCCGAACTTCGCGACATGTACACGAGCGGGCGGTGATGGAGGGCTCGTCGCCCTACTGCGGCTGGAGTTGAGGTTTCTTCAATACTGCGGCGGGCCGTGTCCACCGTCCTGCTAGCTTTGAGCCCACGGCTACTGAAGACGCAGCTCTTTTGTATTATGCTTGCGTTCATCGCATGTGTGACTTGTTAGCAGCCGGAGGCAACCATCAATCTTGTTTCAGGACGTTTGCCAAAGACCGCGTTCACTTGATGACTTCCCTGCAGGAGAGCGCAGCTTGCTGTTGCGGTAAGCACTCATGTTGCGCGACACCATTCAATAATGACCTTGATGCAGGAAATCAGCCGCACTCTAAGACTCAAGCGCAATTTCTTTGTCGTGTGTGCAAGCCAGAAAGGGGAGACCCTGCTTGAGACCAGGATGAAGCGGGGGGGGGGGCGGGTGGGGTAAAAGTCAGCTGGGTCTCTGGGCTGATGGCACGATATGGCATATGTCGGATGCCCTCCACTGGTGAAGTGAATTAGACTGAGGTAGAAATGTCGACACGCTGTCGGTCACCCCGGCTCGGTCGATCCCGAAGTGTCCTCCAGATGAGGTGGGCCACTAGATGCCAAGAGGGAACCGTTTGTTTGCCAGTGTGGTTGTGCCTCACATGGCGGACAGCGGTGATCAGGCGAAGCTGAAGAACATGGGTGATTTGATGCGACTCGGAAGCATTCCGGCTTCCGGGCTTGTGCAGGATGGGGCCAGAGCTTCTCGAAAAGGTCGCACTGGTACAAGACGCGGCTAGATCATCGACACAACGCAGGCAACAAGACATTGTCTATGAAGGCAGCAACTGCTCGTCTGCTGTGCCCGTTAATGAGAGCACTGTGCCCTGTGCCGTAACAGGCTGATAAACGCCAAAAGCAGTTCGTGAAGTGGGTTTTCGAACAGAAAGATGTGGACTGCATCGTTGCCTCTTGGCGGGCAGTTCTCCCACTAGGCAGATGACAGGCTAATGCACATCCAAAGCAGAACGCCACCTCGCATGTCCTTGGATTGTTGGGTGATTGCTGAAGTTCGAAGTGCAGCCGACGTTTTCATGCTGCAGAAGCATTTTTCACACTCGGAGGCCGATTTTCAAAGCCCCAAGCCTCGTGCCGAAAAACCGCAAGACCGGGGCCGGGTTTCCCGGCAGCCACACGCCCCACTCTCCAAGGTGGCAGGTCACTCGCTTTGGTTCCGTGAGTTCTTCAAGAGTGGCTCGCTTGCAGGTTGTAGGCGGTCTGCACTTGAACAGGCTGTTCGTGCCTGCAGTCTTGTTCTCCGAGGCTTCATGCCAAAGTCTGCGACACATGTCGCCAAGACTACGAAAATGGCGAATTGTGCTGTGAACGCCTTACCGAGTGGAGCAATCCTTGACATTTTTTTTGGCCTGCACAGCGGAGCGCAGGTTGTTGCCTTTGATCTGTACCGAAACATCCAGCACTCAACGGAAGTCATTCGCGGCTTTTCAGCATATGCAGTGGCTATCGGAGCGATTTTTTATGCTGCCTGATTTTCAGAGCACCACTTAGGCAAGCGAAAGCATGCAGCTCTTTATCATGTTGTTTCGCTGCAGCTGAGGCATCCCTCCTGAGAGCATCAAGGCACATTGCTGTGGCCCTGTATGGACCAGTGTCATTTTTTTGCTGTTTGGCACCGGCATTGCTTGATGCAGGAAGTGTATGGTGGCTTCGAAATAAAAGGAAAAAAGAAAAAGGCCATCGTCTGTGGTGTTTGCCCGACCAGCTTCAGGGAACAAGCTTGGCAGGCGTAGCTCTTGCAGTGAACCGCCTTCCTGTAAATGCATTGGGCTGTAATGGCCCCGAGAGTCAGTGCCCAAAGCGATCAAGACACAGCTTTCATAAGGCCTGGTCGGAGTAGATTGGAGCATGAACGAGAGAAGGGTGCAGAGACCAGGCCGTTTTAATTAAGTTGATTCTTCGTAACTTGGGCGCTGATGCATTGCCGCGCGGGTAGCGGTCAACCTGCTTCCCGGCGGAGTGTGCGCGAAGAGGTTTAACTTCAGGTGCTAGCGATCCAAAGGTCGACGTCTATAGTCGACTGTATTTCTGGCAATCGCTTTGGTATCGCTTTGGAGTTTACGCGTGCGACTGCTCAAAAGCAGGTTGTGCTGTGCTGGCTTCCTCATCAGTTGAAAAACTGGCAGGCACCGCCTGATATGTCTGAGGTGTCGCAGGAGAAGCGTCGAGCAGGTGTTGACTACGACGACGAATTCAATAAGGCGGCTGCCTGAGAACTTAAAGAGCGAACACTCAGTCAGGCAGAGCGCCTTAACCTCGCCTGTGGACTTTGCTTCCAGCCATGCGAGAGGGAAAAAGTCAGGCAGAGTGCAGAACTGTTTGCAGGGTGTGCAGCGCTTGAACGAAGCACGGGCAGCTGAAGCGGCCAAGCCAGCGGCAGTGCCTTGGCCAAGTGTGCCACATGTGGCAGAAGTTTCTAATTAGCAGCAATCCGAGAGTCCCAAAGCCAGGCTCATACACGAGCTCGTGTGATTCAGCAGAAGGCGGGTGTTTGGCCCAACTACCTTTGCATTGAGCAGCATTTGTGTCTCTACCGTGTGTGTGTGTGTGTGTGGTTCGAGTAAGATATGATTCTCCGTCTGCTGCTCTGGGTGGACATGCGGGCCAATGCAGGCTAGACCAGGTCAAGTGCACCCCCACGGGAGCAAACATGGCGTGGACGCTTGTTTGTAGTTCTGTGTTGAGTGTGCTCGTTTTAAGGAAAATGCCAGCTTGTGTCTTGTACTGTAAGATTTGGAAATGCTAGTCTGCTGTGAAGACACTGAGGTCACAGGTCGGTGGAGGTTTAACGGCTGACAGTTGTGCCGAAGCTCGAGTTGGAGTATGGGGCTGTGAATCCGAGCCACCGTCACCATAGGAGACACAATCTGCTCGCATCCGCTCGCCCGGAGCGGCTTGCAGACAGAATGGAACAGTGCCTGCAGAGCGATTTGGGGGCTGACGTTTTCATAGGTGTGTACTGGCGGTCCTGGCGAGCCACACTATTGAGAAGAGCACTTCTGAGCCCAACCCAAACAAACCAGCTGTTATCAAAAAACTGGCTCGAGTTTCCAGGCCCTCTCCCAGCTTCGTGAGCCAGATCAGCGACAGAGGCGTGGTTCTGCCATGACTCACAGTGTGTAGCCAATGGCGCTAAAGTGATAAGGGCCAGCTTCGAAGCCGTTGTGTTGAAGGTCACCGTTGGTGGGCCTCCGGTGGAAGGTGATCAAGTATCAGGTTAGCACTCGCATGTGTGTCACGAGTTTCACCGGCCTCGCACACGAACTGTCTCTGCTTGCGCTCTCTGGCGAGTTCTTTCGTGCACAGGAATCGCGAGATGCAGAGCGCAAAAAGTTGCAGGCAGAGCTCTGCAGCACAAATAGCTTGCCGAAGCGGAAATCGGATGGCACCCTAATCAACAACCACATGGCATACTTACTCCAAGCAAAAGATGCTGGGAGGCGATTCTGGAAAGCCAAGCGGAGTCCAGGATGGTATCCTTTGAAGATCCCACGAGGCGCACCTGCCCGACACCACCCCGAGCAGCGCTTTTCTTGCATCCTCCTTGGGGAACAGGACCAGGCTGGTGCCTGGATGGCCGGCCCGGGGCTTCCGTCTAAACTTCGGTACACACCTAAGCGGTGGCTTGAGAATCTCTGAAGCTGCTTCGTCTGAGGTTGAGGGCGCTGATGGCCAACAGCATCAGTGGTGCCGGTGATTGTTGTTGTCATTTTCCACAGCTCTGTCGGCACTGACCATTCCCGACCGTGGGAAGGTACAGGTCCCTTCTTGAACAGATCCGGAGACAGCTGGAGACGGGAGATGCTTCCAAGGCTGGTGCCACGCCATGCCGTAGCAGTTGGTCCCATTGTGGCAGCCTCCATTTGCAGCCGATCTCCTGTCAGGCCATGTACGTCTTGCTAGACTCTGCCAGGGCCCGGTCAGTTCGCGAGTTCATTGGCGATGAAACGAAAAGTCAGGTGAAGTCGGTGTTGGACGAGGGAGCTGAGCAGTTGCCTCGAGGAATTTCTGTGCTGTAGACTCGCCATGAGCACATGCACAAGGTTTGAAGCCGACGACTTCTGGCAGTGTGTCTCTGATTTGCAAGCTGACGATGTGACTGTTGCCATGGCATCCCTGCTTGGATCAGTGCCTTGGGCTCGGGGCAACGGGGCTTGGGCTTGCAGGGGCCTAGCCTCTCAGGACGCTCTATGTTCTTCATGACGCTAGTTGTTGGCAAGGATTCGCGGCGTTCGCGGCCTGAATGGTCCGTTGGTGGTGCGAGCCCTGCAGCAACAGTGCGGCGACTTGAACCCGGAGGCGACTCGGCCATTGTGCATAGACTGTGATGGAGTCTTTGCTGCACCAGGCTCCCCTTGAGTCGTGTAAGTACATCCGAGGTGGCCGAGGTGTTGAACGCGCAGTAGTGCAGTTTTGAAGGCATCTGCAACCGTTATTACTGTATGGGCTCGGCCAGTGCTGCTCCTTTCCAGATGCCTTGTAGAGTCGGACGCATCCGTGCACGAATAACGTGCGCTCCAATGCGATCTCTGGTGCAAAGCGCCGGAGATTTGGCAGTGGCCTCGCCCTCTCTGCAAACTGGTCATTCCGCCGATCCGATGTGTTTTTCAGAGGAACTTGAGCCGTTACAAGAACTATGCCGTGGATGTTGCTCCCAGCCTAATCTCGTAGAAACTCGGTCCACGGTCTGTGGAATGGCTGTCATCACCCCAGCTTCAGCAGCCAGCAGGTGTCGGATACGTCGTTGCGCAGGCCGCTCTACGCCGGTGTCCGTGTTGTCTTGAGGCAACATCTATTCGAGCCGGATTGTTGATTGCGCTGCTCTTTGCCCAGACCCTACTGTGTTCAAGCGGGGCCAGAACACAAAGCCTTTCGGAGACGGTCTCTCAAGTTGATTGTCAGGCAGTCAGAGCTGGCGCAGACGAGGAAGTAGAAGTTGAAGTCCAGACCGATGACCAGATTTTGGAGGAGCGGCATTCGAGCGTGAAACCGCCTGTCGGCAGAAATGCGGTTGCCAAGGAGAATCGGCAGCCCTGAACTCAAGAAATGTCGTTAGAGCAAACCGTTTCATCTCTGCACTAGCGCACGTGGGCAGATGGCGGCAATTGGGGAGAGTTGTTCCTTCCACTGTGAGTTGCAACTGTATGCACAATAAAGGCGTGACGAGGTGACGGAAACCTCGACAGGTTTGCAGTACGAGGCGCCTTGTGCTGTAAATACAAGCTTTTGGGCTTACGCTCTCGTAGTAGCAGAGCCAGGTGTTGAAAAGTGGCCCTGCCGACGGAGCTCACCCTGAAGCTCAGTCGAAGATTGCCGTGGACCAAGATAATGTCTTGTTTCTTGACGAGTTGTTCTCGACTTGTATGGCAGAAGCCAGCACACAGCGCCACACTCCACCTTGGTTCGAGCACGGAGACATAGGCGTAGGACTGATGGAAATGATGCGTATGCTCGGAAGTGGACTCGGCCATGGGGAAGGCAGTGTGTTGAAGCCTAGCCTGCATCTTTGGGGTGATAGGTTGAAGACCTGCGCTCCACAGAGGGAGAGTCGCTCCCGGCCCGGCAGGCTACTAGAGACAAGCGCCAAGGCAACATCGAGAAGACGCTTGGTCAGGAAGCTGTCTGAGCTGTTCTGAAAATCTCAGTGGCGGTCGCTATATCGCCTTGGACGGTATTTTGGCATTATCGGTACATGAAGGCGCGGCTTGTCGGGCGACTGAATCAAACGATACGTGAATACATCCCAGGAAGGGCACGAAGCCGAAAGCGGTGCCAAAGGCAAGTGCGTCGAGCCAGGCTCGCACCTTGGCTGTGGAGTGAGGGAAAGGCCAAGTCCAGCATCGACATCCCACCTTGAGCAAACTACACACCGCCGTCTTGTGATCCCAACCCTTTGCCTCGACGCACTTTGCCCAGCACTTTGCCCGACCGGAGGAGATAGATGCTGGCGAGAAAGAAAGGCTTGCGGATGAAGCGATTGCAGCCATCCAGTGGGCTCCCTGAAGTGTCTGCTCGTCTCGGCTCCCTTAAGGGGCATTGGGAAACTCCCAGGCAAGGCGTGCGCGTCGCCGGCAACCAAAAGGCCGGTGCGCCTTTCGTCCCCGAAGGGTGGGCGGAGAAGTACAAGCCCGCCTTGGGATCCTACAAACAGCCGCTCAGAGGCACTAGTCACTAGGCATGTTGCATGTGCGTCCTTGAGTGCACCGGTTGGCAGGTTCTTGAAGGAGAATCCAGACAAGTTTGCGAAGATGTCTCAGATTTCTGGATCTTCTTGAAGCGATGCTCCAGGATCATAGAAGCACGGAGCCATTTCCGAGGTTGGTCCCGGAAAAAGATGGGAACTTCGTGATAAGGCAAGCCGCGGGCGGTTTGTGCGTTTGTGCCTCTGCTAAGTAAAAAAGTCCGTTTCCACATCGAGCCCAAGTGTTCTGGGAGTTGTGTTGATCAGAGAAAAGCCGTGCACCTGCAGGCTTCCAGACCAGCTTGATCCTCCGAGCATTCCAGACAAGAAGGCCACTATCACAGCAGACCATCGCTGGCCAAGTCCGTTTTGCATCTACTTTCGTGCTGTTTTCAGGTGTGGGAAAAACATCTGGTAAAGGCTTGGATGGCATACTGCAAGGCAACTTGTCAGGTTGAAGCATCGCAGTCGTGTTTGCTTGTGCTCTCCGGCGAATCTCCAATGAGGTTGTCCCGAGACCTCAGCGCGATTTCAAGGCAGGTTTCCTCGCAATGTTGCCCAAGCACGCTTTGCGCCTGCGGAGTGCGAAGCAGCCATCGCGGCTCAGCTCGCAAGTGGAGACGTCAAGCTGCAGACAGGTGTGCGGGGCCAGCTTATGCGTGATGCCCAGGTCGCCCAAGAGCGGGCCCGCTCAGTCGCCTCGACTGTCCCCGAAGCCTTCTCCGAAGCTCTCCCCGAAGCGATCGCCGATCGCTGAGAACAGATCAACAGGCCGGAGTTGGTGCAAAGGAAGCAGATGTGATATTTGCAGTCTGCCGAAACCCAGGGCAGTGCACGAGAAAGCTTGTTGGGGCAGGCAAAGGAGAAGCTGGATCCAAAGCTGGGGAGGTAAAGAAGAAAAGAAAGAAGGCACATTGGACATGCATTCCAATGCTATAACTGAAGCTGGCTGGTGACAGGTGATCTGATGTTTTCTCGTTTCACCTCGTAGAAAGTGACCACAGGCAGACTTCAAAAGCGTGAATACAATCGGTTGGGTAAACTCATCATGGCATTAGCAGTGTTCTCTGGTGGTCTGAGGGACAACCCAGGTATGCCATTACCGCGGCACCTTACTGAACGGCTCAGAGTTCGAGCCCCGGGATGCTAGCGGTGAGCCTCAGGTCAGAGCCGTTGTTGCTGATGTCTGAGGTTCGATAGCTCGCACAAGCGTGGCTCTCCGGCTGCTTTCAAGCCTTCCAACCTCGTTCCTGGGTTTCAAGAGGCTGGGGCCGATGCAGTCGCAACAGGAGCAGGCAGGCATTTACTGGGCCACACCGCTCTCTGGTCGAGGCTCTGCTGATGTCCTGCTCTCAGACTCTTCGACCAGCCGATGACAGACTGAACTTCTTCGCTCGTTCGTGCGCAGCACGATTCGGGTAAACCGGTGTTCGAACCAATGGACAATCAGCTAGCGGGGGCCTGTGGGTTAAGGTTGAGAGTCGTCTTTTCAGCCGGATGTGCATGGAGCCACGACAGGCTTAAACTTAAACTGCCCTTTGCATGAACACAGCCTGTGAAGTTTCCCTCAAGTCGTGCCAAGCCATGAGCTGGTTCCTCGGAGTGACAGCATGGCGCGTCATGCATGGTGTGATGCGTGTGATGTTTCACATGTATAAATACATAAAAAATAAATAAATAAATAAATATATATATATATATATATATATATGTACAACTGTTCAAATGTCTATACGTACATCTCTCTCTCTCTCTCTATATATATATGTATACATATTTGTAGTCTCGTGCTATGCAGATAGGGTTTTGTCTTTTTAGCAGTTTCGCGGTGGAACGTGGGAGTTGGGTGACGGAACGGATTGGGGCCAAGTCGCATCGCTGATCGGCCAAGCTTTCGTGCCGTTATAGGACTCTTCAAAACTTGGCGCGTCAGGTAATGCAAACATGCGCGCACAAGCATAGTTGAACGAGCGAATGCACGTACGTCAAGACGACATTTGCAAACCAGAAGTAATTTACCAGTACCTCCAACCCGACAGTTGATGTAGAGTTGGCTTGTTCAGCTTGTTTTCCGCCTTGCGACCGGGTCCCAGCCTTTCTTGACCTTTTGATTGTGTTTCAAGGATGAAGCCAGGCGACACTTGGAGGATCTGGATACCCAGTGCGTGGGTTGCTCAGTGTGGCTCTTTCGTCTGTAAGCTCGTGAAGAATAAGCTGTGTTAGGATCGGATATGGCTCCCGCGGCGCTGGAAGCTGGGGACCCGGACAAACTCACCCGAATCTAGGTCGTGAAAGCCGTGCCACCTTCTCCAGGCGCAATTCCGCCCGACACGGCGATCTCCTTCGAGCTAGAGCTGCTGGAGGCGAGAAGCAGGAAACAGACTGTTCGTCTTTCTGTGGTGAGCTTTGTGGCGCCAGGTCAGTCCTCCGGCGGAAGGACTGGCATGGCTATGGGAGCAGGCCCAGGCGAACCCAATGCCGTCTGCGCCTATGGGTAGAAAAAGCAGATTTCCTTGAGCGAAATCACTTCCACAAAGGATAGCTTTGGTGTGCCTCTTCGGCTTCCAGCTCCTGCAGGGCTACTTTCAGAAGGGCGGTCCTTCTGATCTCAAGGTGAGTGGTTTACCCTCTTCGTCTCTCATGTCCACCACATAGCCGCATAACCGACGGCAGGAGCTGCCAATTTCCGACGCATCTTCTGAGGAGAACCCCAAGGTGAGAATGCTAGCCAATGGAAGCCATTTGTCGCCATGGGAGGCCACGGATGAAAAGCAGCGACAAACGCAGGCTAGCGAACCCCTGAGGTGTTCCTCAGCATGAAGATCGGGGATGCGGAGCCTGAGCGGGTGGTTCTCTAATTTTCTTATTTGGAGCGTGTTGACGGGAGCGCGAACGGGGAGCTAACTTGGGGGTGTCTATGAGGTGGTGATCGAGCTTTTCGCCAAGAGCTACCCAAAGACTGCAGAGATTCTTGGCAGCGAAAGATGGTGGTTAAATTGTGACCCCAGTCCGGCGCAGTGTCAAGCTAAAGCTGACGTCTTAGGAATTTCCGTGCTCTCTGCACCGGCGAGAAGGACTGGGAGAGACTGCAGCCTGTGACTTCTCCGCACAAATACTCAATACCGGCCAGGGCGAGGGGAAGTCTGGCAAGAAGCTGACCTTCAAAGGCGCAGCCTTGTTTAGCATTGGTATGGAGGTATCTGGTTCTTCAGGCGGGAGCAGGAATACAGAGGTCGAGCTCACACTCGGATCCAACGACGAAAGGAACAAGGGACTCTGGCAGAAGCCAACCAAGCGAGGCAGGCGCGAAGGAAACAAGCACATTTGGCTTTTTTGGCTCCACGCTTGCAGTAACGATGCAGCATGACGCAACATGTGATGAAATCTGCAATGCCAATGCAGACCTCAAACTCTACAGTACACATGTTTCACGGGCGGGAGAGCTGAAGGGTCCTCCTGAAGAACCGCAATCCACGCCAACATGTACACAGCATTCCCTGGCTGCTTCGTTTCCACAAGCGTGGCAGAGCCTTTGGAGTGGCGGGTGGTCCTTTCCGACACGGCCTTGCGAGCTCTGGAAAGCCTGCTATGCACAAACACAGCGACGCCCAAGTCCGGTGTTTCTCAAATGGTCTACTGTAGGCGGACAAGGTGAACATGCAAGGGCTGCTTGGGTCCATTGCAGAACGGGAGGGCCCTGCCAGGCCATTTTTACAATTACCCCTTCAGTTCTTGTACAAACTTGACGAGTGTCCGGAGGGTCAGTCTGTGTCAAGAGAGTTATACTAGCATGTAGAGGATGCTTCTTGATTGACGATTTTCAAAAAATCATTTGGGTAATGGCGGCTGTTAAGACTCAACGTGTTTCAGGTATTAAGAAATCTTCACATCGATCAGTCAAGCGATCAATCAATCGGGAGTGTGAGCGTGTTACCTGCTGATTGCCTTATCAGGCAACACCTTCCACCGGATCATTCCTGGCTTCATGTGCCAAGGAGGTGCTTGGATCCGAGCCTGCCGCAAATCTGCGATTGGGCTCGTTGTCGGCTTTTGTCGCCATTGTGGCCTAGGATTTCACCAACGAGAATGGCACTGGCGGAGAGCCAGCCTCCCAGAGACTGTTTCAGTCGTCAGAGACCGTCCCTGACTTTGGAATAGCCGGAGAGCCTAGGTCAATTTACGGCGAGAAGTTTGAGGATGAGTGGACAAATGGATACATCACGTGCGTTCCCCGGGCGGGAAGAAAGGATTGCAGGCGTCTGTTTGCTGCTGTCCACCTGTCACATAGGCACAGCAAAGCCGGAATGCTCTCCATGGCGAACGCAGGGAAGGCACCGAAGATGCTGAGGCAGTCTGGTGGCACCCTGCGACGGTGCAGCTGTTGACAGGATACCAATGGCTCGCAGTTTTTCATCACCCTGGCAGCCTGTCGCGGGCTGAGAACTTTCAGTGGAACTCCAGGGAGAACGCTGTGCACAAGCCGGCAAGCAGTCCATCAGTTGCAGGTCCGTTCAGTGTTACTCGCAGATTACAGTCATTCTTTGAGATGCGCCAGCAGCCAGGTAGGCCTGGTTCAACTACATATCTATTCGGAACTACACTAAAGATCATGGCTCGAATTTTCAGAGACGGTCAGTTACAGGACGTGGCAGGAATGCACGACAAGGGTTGAGCTCTTCTTAATCTAACCGCGGACGTACTCGGTATTTGGCAACTACAAAGAGCGGAGAGGGGGGTGTTCCTGATCGTGTTGAGGAGCACAACACTGGCAATTCCGAGTGCAAACCTGCGCATGGATGTGCAAGGATGCATAAGTACACAACTGAACTCTAGCGAATTTTCCGGAGAAGAACAGGATGGACCATTGCGGCAAAAGTGCAGCAATTCTTGTGATGTACCATGAGGGCGGCTGTACGCTCAGGTACGCACTTAGACGGGAAGCACGTCCTTTTTGGGCAGGTAACAGAAGGTCTTGCCAAGTCCTTAGTCGCTTTGCTACCGTGGCTTGCCCTGTGCCTGTGACACGGTGGCTGAGGATATTGTCAACAAGATGGGCGCCACAGGCAGCTGCACAGCATGTGCAGCATCGTGGAAGGGAGAAGGGCTCACTGACCAAAGACGCGCCGAAGGTTCATCAAATGGAACTCCGAAGGACAAGGCAGAAATTGTGCGGAATTCGGGAATTACTGAAGGCTTGAAGGTGCGAAGCACGCAGAGTTCCAGCTGCTGCTTGTTCGAAGCTTGTGCTATTTTGCCCAGCAAGATCGGCAAGCTTGGCAAGATGTAAACAGAAGCCATGCAGGTGACTATTGTGGATTGCGGGGAAGTGAAAAGCAAATCCACATGAGGGTTTTGGCCGAGTTTCACCATGTAGGCTCTTATAGGGAAAGCTTTAGCTTGGCTCTCGGCTTCGAAAAAACCCTCCGATGCTCGCTGTCAGGCAGCTCGGCCGACTAGTGCCACTATGGTGCATTCCATGCCCCGGCTCATAGCCCGCGTTCCAGGGGGAGAGACGTCACCATTTGCGTGACCATTGGGTAGACTCAGAACCTCTTTAATTAGGACCTTGTCTACCTTCTGCAAACTGAACCTGCTGCTGAACTTCCTTGGTTGAAGTCAGTCCACCCATAGAAAGCTGCAGCCTGTTGAAGAGTTCCAGCCGCTGCTATGCCATGATCCTTGACACGTCGTGAGGTGAATGAGGCGATGGCCATGATATTACAATCAAGCCAAAGGGCTTCGAGGAAGAAGCTGGTGGTCGATGCCTTGTCGCCGCTTCTTGCGTTGATGCTTCTGCTGCGTGCAAGACACTCATGGCCTGGTCGTGGCAAGTTCCTGGTGGCTCCAGCTTTGTTACTTTCAGCCTGGACAGCATTGGCAGGGTTGAAGCTACTTTGGCGGAGAGTTGGCCTTCGGATATCGTCACCCTTGCGAGGCACGTGTGTGAAGTTCGGCTTTCCAACAACCTTGGGCATATGGAGTGCGTTCTGCCCTTCCTGCAAGCGACCCATGAACATTGAACTCGGCCACCGCCGAACAACCGAAGCTCCACCGCCGGAGGTTCGCGGAAAGTGTGCTTTCCTCATTTGTCTGTGGGGTGCTTCTCGCGAGTACCTTCTCGGGGCTTTGGTGCTCGGCTACTCCATCAGGAAGACAGGTTCGCGGCACGATCTGGTGTGCCTGTACACAAATGATGTACCGGATTCGCACATAAAGTTGCTGTCCAGGCTTTGGCTTTGCAAGCCCATGAGCCACATTGATGTTGCAATGGATCAGCTGAGCTTTCCTGAAAAGGAGGATCGCTTTGCGAAAGTGTTTTCCAAATTGAACGGCCTTGCATTAACGGAGTATTCAAAGGTTCTCATGATGGATATCGACCTCCTGGTGCGCTCAAACATAGATGACCTCTTCGAGCTCACCCCGCCAGCTGCCTTGAGACGTGGCATGAACGAGGTTTTTCTCGGCCATGGCGAACCAGTGGACGGCCGCGTCTTCTTCTTGGGCGCAGACAAATCTATGCCACGTTGGTCCTGGGGACAAGGCACAGGGATCAATGCTGGTGTGATGCTGTGGCAGCCCGACCAGGCTGTCCTGGATCAGATGCTCGACGAACTTACCGAGCCCAACCACCCAGAACACGTGAAGGGAAACGGCCCTGAGCAAGATTACCTAAGTCGTTTCTGGGCAGATGCGCCTTGGACCTACATCGGAGTGGAGTACAATTTTCAGCTCCACCAAATGTTTTTCGCTTTGCACCCAGACCGTGCCTACTATGCGGAAAGATCTGTTCTAGTGCAGACACCCGAGAAGATCCGAGTCGTCCACTTTTCGGGAAAACCGACTGCAAAGCCATGGCATCGGGTGTTGGACAGTGCATGGAAAGACTTCTGGCCGGACAGGTCCCGTGACGCTGAGTACGTAGAGCGCTTTGCCGAAGAATTTATGGGCTACTGGCTCTGGGTCAAGCGTGACCGTGAGAAGTTTGATGCTCAAGCCAGCGGAAATTCGTGGGACACGGTGGGCTTGGAGCTGAACGAGGATGGCGAGTTCTTTCGTCACTACAAGAACGGCCGGGAACCCGATCGCCTCGAAATACCAGTGGCAGCTTCGCAAGGCGCCATGAACTTGCTGTCGGCTGCCTTGGGGGAGTGGTTCGACATCTTCGAGCAGCTGCAGCGAGAGTTCCACTTGGATCTCGCGCGCTTGACGCAGAATGGGGCCCCTGCGCGTGCACCGGCTTCCCGGCAACAAGTGCCAGGACTTCGGCAAGTGGCATGGCGCCGTCATGGGGGCCGTGGTGGCTGGTTTGTAGAGTCGGAGAAGGCAGAGACAACACTTCCCGCTTCAAAGCTGACTGTTGTTTGTGGGATATCAGAGGAATTATCTTCTGTTTCTCTGCGAGACCCAAGAAGCGAGACCTACGAAGACGTAGGGTCGCATGTCCAGGGCTTGTATGTCAAATTGGCAGGATCCAGGGCATGTCGGCATTTTGAGCTTCCTGAAGAGCTCACAGAGGAGTCGTTGGCTCCGATCCTTTTTTGGGTGGACAGCGTCCCGACCGGTGCAATTGTTTTGATGGCTGCAGTCGGGCTTCCAAGCGATTTCGCAACAGTTCTGCAGATACTCGCGCCCCTCGGCGTGCCTCAAGTGCCACCACCCAAGAGCAGTAAAGTCCTGGCTTGCATCTCGACATGTCAGCGCCCACGGGCAGTCGAGGAGGCTGCGGAAGAGCCCCCATGTGCACACCATGCTTCACCAGATATAGCTTATGCTTCGTTGATGATGGATGAAAGCTGTATATAGACGACGCGCCCACTGGGAATGTCGCGACGGTGAAATACCGCTGATCGTTTTCTGGATGTTTATATGTGGCACGGGGGGGGGGCGGGACGGGCCAACAATTGTGCATTCATTTCAGCGCAGTCCGGAGCCAAACAAGTGCTTCATGCGGTACAACGTTCATCATACGTGTACTGAGCAGAGCTTGGCAGTCGAGCTTACGTCGAAAGTGAATGGACAAACTACTGCTTAGCAAGTCAAACAGCTGCAAAAAGCAAGTGAATTATTTTCCGTTGATTGATGTTGCCATCTCTCCTGGTCCAAGTCCAGCAGTGCTGTCGCAAGCTTATTTGCCATGGTGGTCTCATCATCTTTCCAAGAGTTAAACAAACTGCTGGATGAGTTTGCTGAAAGTGATGGGGATGTGGATAGTGCCTACACAGAAGGAAGAATATGTGCTGTGTTGAGCAGTTCGGAAGCTACCTCTGCGTTGCTTTGCAGTGACACGGCAGAGCAGGTGGGGCTGTTTGCCCGAAGATCAACGCAACATGTGCTGAAGGGAGCCGCTTCGGGCCGCTTGAAGTTACAGCGAGCACTTTCCAGATTTTTCGTGTCTGCGGCAGATCTTGGAGATGAGTTTCCAATGACGGCAGTGTTGACTTTGGGTGGGCTGTTGTTGGCCTTGCGGCAAGGCTTCGAACACGCACTGGCTGCAGATGTTCTGGTAGCCCTCCAGTTTGTACAGTCTTGGCTGGCTGGAGGAGCTTTGGAGGTGGTAGTTACAGCATTGATAAGGAGGAACCACATGTTCTCACCAGAAGTTGCTCAAGCAGCTTCTGGATGGCTCTGTGGTTTGCAGGATCAACTGGCAGCTGCGTGTGCGAGGATCTTCCATGAGCCTACTGGGAAAGACTTCGTGGAATGGTTGGAGTCTTCGTACCTGAGCAGGCTTGTTGAAACACTGCTGATGGCAATGCGCTCGGAACCATGCTTCCATCATCTCGAGATGAACCCTTCGTGCTGGGACATTTTGGGACGCATGTCCCTCAGGGGCAATGCCAGCGCCCTCGCTCGTGCATTTTGCAAGGCGGCTCTCACTTCGATGGATTTCGCCGTCATGCTGGGGAAATCAATTTCAAGATTGGCAGACCAGCATCCACAAGCAAGCAGAGCGTTGGTTTGTGCAATTTTGCGCGATGCAGGAACATTCTTTCAGACGTCTGGCTGTCGGCTGGTTGTCTGCGGGGACGAAGGCATGGCACGGTTTTCCGCATTGATACATCCATCGTTAGGAACTGGTCGCCCTATCCAGCAGCTTCTTGCCGTCCAGCTTTGGCAGAAACGATGTGGCAGTGAATTGTCATCTGCAGCAGTCTTCTTTATAGTTGACACGATACATGCAGCTGGGGTAGACTGCTGGTGGCCAGCCTATGCACACTGGTTAGAGGCATGGGCCGATCCTTCCCATTTTCAGTCTTCAGACCTCGCGGCGGAACGAAACTTGGCGCTGAGACTGGCACGAGCAGCCCGTGTACACATAGCGGACCAAGATCCGATCCCTGGACATTCCTCGAAATATTTATTGCAAGGTATTCATCTCAGACTGTCTGCGCAGACGAGAGAGCGACGATTGCTCGGAATGGCCTTGGCCGAACTGTTGGCCGAGCGCTGGTGCTCGGGAGTCGACGAGCAACAAAAGCAGCTCCGATTTGATGGCTTCGACAGGCTGGCTTGCTTGCTTTATTTTCTTTGCGTGCAAGAGATAAAAATCAGGATATATGGGTGACGGAGTGGGGTGTGGGTTGGGGTGGGGTGTTCGGTGAGGCCTCGCCCTGTGCCCCACCCTCACGCTGGCGGGCCGGGGCCGGGCGGGGCGGGGTGGGGAAATATGCGTCTGTGACAGTTGGAAGATATAGCCCCTGGAAACTTACCACCGCCCGGTAACGTGTGTTGTACGATAAAACCGTCCAACCATCATCAAAACCTGAATTGAAGCGCGGCTTCGTGGCAAGGCGCGATGCAGCTGATACTCGGCTGCAAGTTGCGTGACAACATTGCCACGGGCAAGGGAAAGAATAAGAGCTTCGTTCCTGTTTCGAAGAGGTGGCAGACTTTCAGCTGGCTGGCGCCGATTTCGAAGTTGTTGGCGACTGAGTCGTGTTCGTCCCAACTTGTCGCCGGACAACCGTCTCGGTTCTCAATCCCGGATTGCGCAGGTCGCCGGGGAAGTTGTGGCAGAGACACATCCACAAGTTCCGTCGGTCGTTAGGAGCTTACATGGACTCGGGCAGGGTTTGGGCAGTCAGCATGCTTGGCAGCCGTGTGCTTGAGGCAAGCTTTGAGAAGGAGGAGGTGGAGGCATCTTTCGTTGCGTTGTATTGCAGGATGTCGCAGCTTTGTGTGTTTTTGCGCAAGGAGCTTCCTTGCCAGACCCTGTCACAAGCAGAGCCACAGCCGGTGCCGGAAGAGGACAGCGACGACGAGGATGAATGCCATCCGCTCCGTGCTTACCTCAGCGCTGCACCCGTGTTCGATGCACATGTTTTGGTATGGCAGAACCAATTGCGCCGGATCGCGGCTTCTCGTCGGTCGCAGGTGGGTTGTCTCCCTTGCAGCCATTGGATGTGCAAAACGACTCTTGCTCGGACCTGCTCCTCGTCCAGTTCCTGCCCCATCAGGGCTCGTGGATGCTTGGAATACAGTTCGTTAGTGGAGGAACCGTCTTCGAGCGCTGCAGGCATCCCACTTTCCTCCAGAGTGCGTACGAGATGCTGTGGGGTACCCATGACAAAGCAACGATATTTTTGTTTCCTGATGGTGAAGATGTGACTGCAACAAAGGCTTGGGCCTGTAAAAACCCCCTCCACGCCGCTGAGTGACGAGGACTGAGCAGAAGCTTCGAGTAGCAAAGCCGGACTGAGCGCTCTTCCTGGAAGGCCTTCGGCAAGCCAGGCTCTGCTCCGGAGCCCCCAGCCGTTGCCTCAAAAGTCGTCCGAAAGGCCGCGAGAAAACGTCGCTAAAGGGCCGAACAGTGCACCGATCTTCGGGAGACTTGTGTTGTTGCAGCTGCTTTTTGGTAGATCTGTGTAGCTGATAGTAAACGATGCCTGTTGCAGTGTCGTGCACCAGCGATTCAAGGCAGTGGCACGGGCCAGAATTTGGACAGCCTTGGTCGAAGCCTAAACGTCGGTACAGCATCAACGAGGTGCTCGAGCTTTTGGGTTTTCGGAATCTCGGCAAGCCAGGCAGACCTGCCTGCGCTTCTTGCTGCGGGTTCTGATGATCTTCCCAGGCAATCTGGCGCTATATCGTAACTGCGTTTAATTGCCTGTCGACTTCAGGCTTGCGGAGCCCCTGTGTGTTCGTCTGCTCCGGCTAGAGGCGAGACGAATGCCGAGGGTTAGCGCATTGCAAAGTCTGCTGGATGGGATGCGAACCCCTCGGCCCGACCTTGCTAATGTTGCACACTGAGAGAATGAACAGGACTGCGGGAAGCAGTTGTTCACTGCGTGTTCATAGATTTTGTTTGGTGGCGGTTTTTGACAACATACCCCTTCCACAGGTTACAAAAAAGCTTGTACCGATACGTCCTCTTGTCGTGAATCCCAACATTCCGGAGAGGCAAACGAAACAAGAAAGAACAACTGCTGGTTGACGCGGGTTTTTAACACAGTCTTCAGAGCGGATTTGCAGGCAATCGCGGACAGGACCCTTTGCCTCAGCCACAATAGTCTACTGCCCTTGAGTGACGGGCAAGGGTCAACGGCCTGTATGCCGGAGAGCTGCAGCTTGCAGGTGAGTGGCCAAGAACTCCAGGACATGAGAGTCGAGGCCGTGGTGCTACGGACGCCCATAACCCGCCGGATTCTGCCTGCCACAACCTCTACCCACTGCCTGCAGGCTCTCGTGGCCTTGCTGGTGGCTGATGCTAGCCGGCGCCAAGCTGTTCAATGCCTCACTGCAAACTTCACTACAGAGGAGCACTAGAGCACAGAGCCCCAAGTGGTCTTGCGGCAAAACACCTCCCAGGACCTCTCCTTGAACGAGCGCCGAGCTATTCTGCTCGTGCTGTCGTCCGCCGCGCAGAAGCTTTCGAGCAAGGAGGCGGGACCGGGGGCACGGGCGCAGGCTGTTACTTGTCCCACTAGTCCACTGGTACTTGCCATTCGCCCCACATGTTCGGGACGTGCAAGGTCGAGGAGACCAGGGCCGCAGGCCAAGGCCACCAGGGCTGTACCGCTGTGCCGCTGTGCGTGGCACTGCGTCCAACTGTATTTTTCTCGAGTCCAGGATCCTCGCCGGCAGCACAGCTTTCCGGAAAATCGCGCCGGTTTGCATCAGCCACGAAGATGCCGGCATCTTTCAGAAACAGGAGACACCAGCCGTGTCGGGAGTGCCTAGATGTGGCAAGATGTCAGCGAGACAGGTTCTCCGCAGAAGCACGCCATTTCGTACTTCCGCTGGTGAACAGGCCCACTTCTTGGAACGGCGTACATGGCGCGCGTTTGTCTGCTTCGTGGATGACAGACTGCCAAGGTGGAAGCAGCCCGATGGTGGAGCAGCCAAGTGGGCTGTGGGCAACATCCCTATTTGTGCAGCACAGTGTCATTCATCATGTATCGTGCCGAAGCATATCGATAGCGACGAGATAGTCACACTCACGTTGAAGGGGAGCCAAATCTGGTCGCGGAGTTCCTTCGGTCTCTGGCGGTCTGCTTCCTGGATCGCGCTGCACATGCGAGCTTCTCCATGGTTGCAGCTGGTTGAGGTCATGCTCGAATGCGCGGGCCGAGCTTGCTCGGACCGGGAAGTGCTCTGTCAGCATTGCGTGGAATTGGCGGAAGAGGCCGTTTGATAACGTAATATGTGTAGTTTCGAAGTGAAATGCCTTGGGAATTTGTTCCTAGAGGCTCTGCGTCATTTGGAATCGCAAGTCCGACGCTGCAGCTTGTTGTGAAACACACGTGTGTGTGCAGTAACAACCGTTAACGACGGCCGTCGCTAGCACTCTGGCTCGACGAGTTCAAAGATTTTAGATTCCTGATCACTTTCGACGCCATGTCGACTACTCCAGCGGCAGCCTCGTCGTCGGCGCAGCAGATGCCGAGAAAGGCACCGCCGCAGCGGCCTCAGACGACGGTCACGCCGGAAGCTGGAGTCCACGTCGCAGTTCGAGAGCTTCGCAACGTCCTCCGGAAGGGACGCGACGGTGGATTCGGCGCATGGGCGGAACTGGCGGCGAGCCTGGACATGGAGGACCGGACCTCACTCGCCGAGCTCCTCGCCGTGACGGCCGTGGTTCCACCGACTTCCCCGCCCACCGACGAGGAACGCCGGGTCTACATGGGGAGGCTGTTCCCGCAGCGGGCCACGACGGAGGGGACGCCGGTGATTGTGAAGGCAGCTCCAAGGCCGCCGCCGACCACCTCTGCCACGCCGGGACATGGATCTATGACGCCCAGCTCGACGGGTCCCAGGACATCGCCGATGGCATCAACCACGCCGCCTCCACCGACGGGTCCCGGGAGCTCATCGGCGGCGACTATCCTGCAGCAGAACGTCGGGGCGCCGCCCACGGCGTGGGCACACCAGGTGAGCTGGCAGCCGCCGCAGCCCACAGCGGCAAGGGACGACGACCAGGTGTCGGGCACGGTCTTCCTCGACGCCCCCCACAACGTCGGCTACCAGGACTGCGGCGGCCTTCTTGGACCCGACGGAAGCGAGGGAGCCCGAGACCACGGCGTCGCCGACCATAACGGGGTTCCCGGGTCTCGCCGCAATGGAAGCCCAGTCGGCGATGCCTTCTGGCACGGCCACGCCGGCATACTACATCGACGCGGCTGGTCATCGGGTGAGGGCCCCGCCAGAGGGGGCACGACGTCCTGTCGACGCCACTGGCATCCAGACGCCGGCTTCGACTGTCGGCGGGGGGGGCGCCGAAGAAGTCATCAACATCGCCGCGTCACTGCTTCGGCAGGTGGGCCCCCGACAGGATGACGACGCCCATTCGACGGCCGGGAGCCAGACATCGGCAGCCAGAGGGCGGTCGACGCAACGAGGAGGGCGGCCGACCATGGACCCGCCGCCGCCTCCCCCAGTGGTCGACGCACCCCCATCCAGGTCCAGCTTCCCGCCGCTCTCGGCGGCTTCTACGCCATGGCAGTCCACACCGCCGAGTCCGAGGGCATCCACAACGAGAGCGCCGACCCCCCCGGCGGTGGCGGCAGAGCGCCCGGATTGGATGTTCCCGCCGGGCGCAAGGCCAGCAGACGACCCCGCCGGCTCCTCCATGGACGCCGGGCCTTCGACCACTACCAGGACGACGACACCGACGGGGGCACGCTCAAGGTCCAAGACGGCGGCGGGGTTCCGCGAGCACCTGAGCGACGAAAGGATCCGCCAAATCGAGATCAACATGACCGACGACTATCGGCAGCACAAGCGGGCCATGCATCGCCGGGGCGCTCGCGCCGTCGACGACCCGCCGAAGTCAGTCAAGCACTTGCTCAGGCGGACCCTGAACGACGTGATCGCCGAGGAGAACCTGGACAAGCAGGGCATCGACGGGCACAAGCCCAAGCCCCCGCCGACCTCGGCGCCCACCTACTGTGCATACTGGTTCTGCTCGACGCTACCCGCCAACACACGCGGCGCCCGGATCCCCTGGCAAAGCCAGGAGGCCGGCCGACGTGTGCTTGGTTGGTGCTCGCACCCTTGCACGTCGCCGCAATGCCCTCATTTTGAAGATCTTTACGACGTGGACTCGCCGGGCCTAGGCCGCTGCCTGCGTCCCGTCGTCGAGGGCAACGGCCGTGACCATATTGGTCACGAGTGCGCCGCATGCCATGGCATGGTCGGCGCACAGGACTGATCTTTCACGACGCCAGCGGGTGCCCCTGTCACCCGGCTCCGGCCATCGGGTCGGCACCGCTGAGGCAGTCGACGGCGGCGGGGGCAGGATCAGAGCCCACCGCCGCCCTGTATTACTTATTTTCTTTTCGACGTTTTCGTCGTTGCCAGAGTTGCTTAATCTCGGCGGTCACGCCGCACGGTGCCTTTTGGCGGAGCCCGACGCACCCGACAAAAAGAGTGCCGTGCACCTGTTGCCTCGTCCGTCGCGCCTGCCGTCGCTGTCGGCTTCTCTCTCTCTCTTCGTTCGTTCTCGGTCGTCGCCGTTGCCTTTTCTGCTTCCGCCGCAGCCTTTTCTGCTCTGGCTCGAGACGCCGACCAGCACTAGCCCCCTGCATTCCCCGACCCAGGACGCCGGTCATGAACCAACAAGTCGCATCGTCGGGACCCTCCGCGACTGTCGCCGACTTCTTTCGCGACGTCGCTTCGGCAGGCGGTTCGGCCTACATCGCGACATTGGCCAGGTTCGGCGCGATCAACACGCCGGCAGTGAGGGACTCCTTCGCCGTCCTTTTGGAGAACGGCGTGCCCGAGGGCCTCTTGCTGCAGATCCTGGCGCCGGTGCCGCCGACGCAGCCGGAACCAACGGCGGCCAGGCCACCCAGGCACGATGTGCCGAATAGAAGGACCCTACCCCGGGCATCTTTGACGGCGGCTTTGGAGGCTATGGACCCCGGGCGACACCAAGACACACTAGCAGCCATCGACGCCAATCTGCTGGCATCGTCGACCCGCCGGGCCATGGAGTCGCGAGTGAGGACGGTGAGCGCCCTGGCAGACAGAGGTCAGTTCCCCCTCTTCCCGCTCGACGCCAACAAGCTTCACACCATCGCCGGGGCTATGCGGATCGCCGGCTACAGATCGACCGGGCTGTACCTCGACGCGGTGGTATGGCACCAGGAGAACACCCTCCACACGCCGGTCACACCTGGACTTCGACGTGTGGTCAAAACCCTGACCAAGGCAGCGGCGAGGGGCCTGCCAGGGTCCAGGCTCAAACAGGCATTCGACCTCGACGAGCTCAGCAAGTTGGTCGACGACACGGCGCCATTCGGGCCCTTCAACGCCGGCCTGGTGGCTCATGCCGTCGATGTTGTCATCGTCGCTACTTGGTTTATGCTGAGGGAGGTGGAGCTCGCGGCGGCCCGGGTCAGAGACCTCGGCGTGACCTTGTCGACGGTGTCGCTCGACATACCCCTGCACAAAACGGCGCAGGGGGGGCAGGCCGATCTCACACGACGCACATTCAGGTGCGTTTGCACTTCGACGGCCCACCCACTCTGCCCAAGATGCGCCGCACACCGCCACCTTCGGCGGATACAGGCCTCCGCGGCCGCGACGCCGGCCGACTTCCTGTTTCCGACTAGACCGACGGTGCAGAGGTCCAAGGCGGAGTCGGCAGAGATGTTTCGGCTGGTGCTGGACGCCGCCGGCTTCGAGACGGTGTACCTCGACGAACAAGGCAAGCGCCGCTTGATCTTCGGCGGCCACGCCGCCAGAGTGGCAGGTGCGACCTTCATGGCGATGAGGGGGTCCCGGTCGCCGTGATCCAGCTGCTCGGCCGATGGGCCTCCACCGCCGTCGAACGGTGTGTTCAACAGGCACCCCTCGCCGTGGCAGCAGGCGTTCCAGCCCAGGCCTTGGCAGCGCCGAGCTCGTCGACAACGACGCCGGCCCAGCCCCTGGCGACACCGACGCCGCCGGCCCTCATGGACTTGTTGCCGACGGGGAACGCAGCAGGGCACGCCGATACGGCGGTGCCGACCTCGCAGCAGATGGTGCCCAACGTCGACTTCGCGGCAGAGGTGCCCGGCGTGGAGTTCGTGCCAGAACCCGCCAGGATGCCAGTAGCCGACGCGATCGGCGACTCGGCGCCCCGGTATGTCATGAACTGCCGCACCAAGATGGTGCACACGCCGGGGGTCGACGAAGCGTCGACAGAAAGGTCGGATTGGCAGGCCAAGTGCGGCTGGCCTTACGGCGTGCGACAGTTCTTTCGCCTGTCCGAGCTGCCGCCGGATCCGGCCTTATGCCGCAAGTGCTTCCCGACGGAAACCGTCGATGTTGAGGCACCGGAGGCGATCGACTCGTCGTCGAGCTCCTCGTCCTCCACTAGCGGAGCGACGTCGGACTCCGACTGAGCGACGCCGGGCTTGACCGACGGATCGCCGTCACCATTTTCCGCCGAGGGGTCGCCGGCAATAGCCGTGTGCGGCCCCGACGGCTCTGGCACCAACTGGACGACGACCCAGGAAAACCACACACAGCCCAGATCAGATCACCGTCGAGGGCTCGCGCCCGGAACTTAACGACGGATGTCTCACCCGTAGCCCTTTTCTATCGAGCACGGAAACCGACTTAGGACGCCGTAGGTGTTGGTTGCCATGGCACTCCCGACGGTCGCGGCCTCGATGGTGCAGCTGGACGACCTCCTCGCCGCGGCCGGCGCCAACGACAGCATCAAGAACTACATCACGGCCCGGAAGATCACCACGACGCCCACATTGGCCCTGATCGCCAAGGACGTCGAGAGGTTCACGACGCACATCATCCACCCGTACATCACCGGCATCCGCATCGACGGCACCGATCACAAGGTGGAGGACGGGCAGGACGATGTGGCCACGGCGGTCATGACTCACTTGTTCGTCGAGGCCACACGCCAATGGACGGCCGCTGCGTCGTCGCCGGTTCCAGCCCCGGCGGCCTTACCTGCGCCGGCGGCGGCGCCGCCATCGACGGCCACGCCGGCTATTCCTGACAGGCCTCCCAAGACCTTCTCGGCGTGGAACCAGCAGGTCAACATCTACGAGGAGCGGCGCCTCGACGGGAAACGGCGGACCTTCCCAGCACATGAGCTCCTTGGCGCCGAGGAGGTGCTGGCCAGGATGTGGTTCGAGCACACCACCTCCAAGATGTATACGCCGGTCACCCTCGGCGAGATCGTGTCACGACGCACCTGGACGGCGGCCCGGACCTTGAACCCTTTGGCGCTGTCCAGGTCGACGTCCGCCGCCAGCTCCAAGGCGCTACGGCTTGAACATGGCCTCCTGCTCCAGGAGGAGCCGACGGAGTGGGTACCCAAGGGCCTCTTCTCCACTATCGACGGAGCCAACGCCGCCCGGTGGGCATGGATCCTGCTGGGCATCGGCGAGGAGACCGACGTCATGACATATGTCGACTGGTTCGTCGCCCGCGCCAGGGATAAGTCCAACCACGTCGCAGCCCTCCAGGCATACTGGCAGCGGACGTCGTGGAACCTGGCGATGGCACTCAGGAACAACCGGTCCTTCGGCGAGGCCACCAAGGAGATCATGGACGACGTGGCCACGTGGCAGGAGATCCTCCTGTCCACGCCGCACCCGACCAAGAGATCCGAGAAGGAGATCACCGACCGCACCGACGCCCCCAACGGCCAGGAAGAGGACGCCGACGACCAGCAGGCATGGACCGGAGGCGGCGGTCGCGGTGGCCGCAAACGACGACGCCAAGGGGGCCGGGGCCGAGGGCGCGGACGCGGCGGCAAAGATCAATCACAGGGCGGCGGCAAGAAGAACGAGCAGGACACCAACGCCGGCTGGTGGCAGCAGAAGGCCGACGGAAAGAACCAACAGTGGTGGCACGGCGGCAACGGCGGACAGTCCAGCCAGCCAGAAGGCCAACGCCCGTGGCGCGGCAATGGCCAAGGCCGCGGCAACCGCCGTTAGGGACAGCACGGGGCCCCGTCGAACGCCCCCGCTGACGACGGGGTACCCGACCCACCGGCCAAGAAAGTGAAGCTCTCAGGCCGGCGACCAAAAGGCGACGAGGTGATCGTGCTGTCGGCGTTCGACGGTGTCGGCGCGGGCCCGTGGCTGGTGTGGGACCTGGTGGGCCAGCCTAGAGCGGTCTTCTCATGGGAGGTGGACCGAGCGGCGATCCAGGTGATTGACTACCACATCCCCGACGTCCGGCACCGCGGCGACATCACGGAGGACACGCCGAAGGCCCTGGCCAAGGACATCGAGGCGGTCGACCCCGACGCCCAATGCATCATCCTGTTTCTCGCCGCCCCGCCGTGCCAAGATTTCTCCAGGATCGGCGACAGAGCGGGTCACGGCGGTGATAGAGGCTACCTCTTCAACTTTACGGCTGAGTACGTCGCCGAGCTGACGCCGCTGATCGCACCTCGACGGCTTGGGAAATTGGTCGAAAACGTCGAGATGACGCAGGCAGACGCGGCGGCGGCCACCAAGGCACTGGAGTGCGAGCCCATCCTCTCCGACGCCGCCGACTTCGGATGGATCGGTAGGTCCCGCCTCTGGTGGTCGACGATCGACTGGGAGGAGCTGCCTCGCGACCCCTCGACGGGAGAACATTGGACATGGGCTCTACACCGCCGCTGGAACAGACTGCGGCTGGACTCTCCCAGGGCAGCAGCCGACGACTTCGACCTCGACGGCCTCAAGTTCTCGGACTCCGTCGCCAGTGGCAGGGTCAGGCTGCCATGTGCGACGACACCAGCAGCCGACGAGGGAGGCAGAGCCGCACCAAGGTCGACGAGAGGGAAGATCACGTCGGACACCCACCAGCGGTGGCTCACCGGCGGACGGCAATTTGCGCCGTGGCACTACGCCAGAGACGCCATGATGACCGACGACCAAGGTCGACTACATCTGCTGCCGCCGAAGGTGAAAGAGCAGCTTCACCACATGCCGGCCGACTACACGGCGAGATCCACCGCCGGAGCACTCGACGACCGCACTCGACATCGCCTCATCGGCAACGGCTGGCACTGGGGAGTCGCACGACGTCTTCTTTTGGCGCTGTTGGTCTTCACAGCCACGGCACCGACGACGGCGACCCCAGTACCAAGATCACCTAGCCTATCGACGTTACAGTGGGTGGCTTCGTTGTGGGGACCCGGCGGTCCGATCATGGCGCCAGCCCAGGTGTGGCGTACATCCAGGACCTCGACGAGCAGGCGCACTGGGACGCATCATGGTCGATGTCACACCCGCTGGCAGACGACGCCCCACTGGAACCGGCGTGGGAACGACTCCTGGTTATTCGTCGAACTTGGCGCCACGACCTGGCCAGGATCCGAAGGGAAGTCGTCGACGAGGTCCGCACCATGATCGAGGACACAGCCGACGAGACCAGGGAGTGGCTGGCCGCCAGATCATCATGGGTCAGAGCTACGTACTCGACGCCGGACAAGCCGGCCCCGACGCAGGTGCTCGTCTTCCTACAGCTGCTCCGCCTCGTCGACTACCCCGACATCGACGCCCTCGAACTCGACATGACGGAGGGCTTCCAGATGATCGGCGTCATCCGGCCAGGACCAGGATGGAGGAAAAGGGACGACGGACGCTACCAGCACCCGACGGACATGGACACCTTCCGACGGACCAACGCCGAGTACGTCCGCCGCAAGGTTTCCCAGCACGACGGCGGTGAATTCGCCGATCAGCTGCTCCAGGAGCTCATCGCCGAGAAGAAGCTGGGCAGAGTCATCGGCCCAACGACAGCGCCGACATGGCTGCACACCAAGGCCACGGCGGTGCCCGACCAGATCGAGGTGGACTCCCTGGTTGAACCGCCGCCCGGCGAACACTTCTTGGCAGGGTCCTTTCCAGTCTGCCAGACCGACGAGAAAGGCGACCTAAAGGTACGACGTGCCGAGGACTGGCGTCGCAGAGGGCACAACGCCACGGTCTCGGTGGACGACGTGCCGACACACCACTTTATCGGCAGCTTCGTCGACCTGGCACGACGCATGGTCCAGGACACCCCCGACGTCGTGGTCTTTGGCAACGACCTGCTCAACGCTTACCGCCAGTGGCCGGTTCGACGACCGGCGGAGTGCGGCACCTTCCTCTCGACCAAGCACGGCGTGACCTTCTGGTACCACCTGGCCATGAATTTCGGCGCTACGGCGTCGGTCTGGAATTTTAACAGGGGAGCCGACGCACTTCAGCAGCTACTCAGGGGACTGCTGCTACTGGCGACGGGTCACTACGTGGACGACTTTAACGGCCTCGACGACGCCCTCCTCGGCGAGTCGGCGATGGTATCGTTCCAGGACCTCTTCTCGGCGCTGGGCTTCCTCACCAAGGCGTCGAAGGCACAACACCCGGCGAAGAACCACATCGTGCAGGGCGTGGAGTTCCAGGTCGACGAACGGGGAGTCACCCTCAAACCGACGACGATTCGGGTAGACAAGATCATGGAACAGATCCGCCGGGCGCTCGACCAGGTTACACTGTCGCCCGCCGAGGCTGCCAAGCTCGCCGGAAGAGTGTCCTTCTTGACACAAGCGGCCTTCGGTTCCGTCGCAAAGGCCGCGACGAAAGCGATCTACGCCCGAGCAGCCGACACAGCGGCATGGACGGCGGACTCCCTGTCCGACGGTCTCTCGGCGGCCCTACGATCCTTGGCCAGGATCTTGCCGACGATCCGACCCAGATTCATTCCGTTCGACGCCAAGGAGATGGAGGTCGCGATCCTGTACGCCGACGCCTTCTTCACCGACGGGGAGACCAGGCACAAGGCCGGCCACGTACCCCAGGGGGTACGGCCGACGAAGAAGGCGGCGAATGGATGGGGATATGTGCTACGCATCGGCGACCAGGTCTTCTTCGACCACGGCGTCGCGCCGGAATGGTTTGTCAAGCTCTTCTCGACGAGGAAGGCATACATCTACATGCTCGAAGTGCTGGCCCAGCTCGTCGCCTTCGTCACCTTCGGCGCCCGTCTGCCGCCGGCCATTGTCGCCTTCATCGACAACACCGCCGGACAGGCAGCCCTGACAAAGGGATACGGGAAAGACGCCGCGGTGAACGGCATGATTTCGGCCTTCTGGACGCTTGCGGCGCACCAGGGGTGGTTCGTCGAGTTTGAGCGAGTTCCCTCCAAGGCCAACGTCGCCGACGCAGTCTCCAGAGACGACTTCAGCAGGGCGACGGCCGAGGGATGGCACAGAGTCTCCACGCCGACCGACGAGATACTCTCCATCTTCGCCCGATCGGCGCAGGACCTCGAATATGCCACGACAGAGGCGGCGGACGACCTCCTTCAGCTGGCCAACGGCTTCCACGTCTGAGCCGGCGCGGGGTGGAGAGTCGGTGCGCACGGCGGGTGCAGAATGCGCCCCGGCACCGACTCGTCGTTTCAGCCTGTTGATTCGCCGAACGGCGTGATACAGCGCTGCTACCACACGACGAAAAAGAAGTCCTGATTCGTCGCAGTGCTCAGTTTGGTTCAACGTCGGGCAGAGTGCGACGGTTGTTGTGAAACACACGTGTGTGTGCAGTAACAACCGTTAACGACGGCCGTCGCTAGCACTCTGGCTCGACGAGTTCAAAGATTTTACCCACCCTCACCGCCCAGTTTTATTTTCGCGTTTCGGCGGAGGGCGAACGACAGCGGGCCGGGTGCAGAATGCGCCCCGGCACCGACTCGTCGTTTCAGCCTGTTGATTCGCCGAACGGCGTGATACAGCGCTGCTACCACACGACGAAAAAGAAGTCCTGATTCGTCGCAGTGCTCAGTTTGGTTCAACGTCGGGCAGAGTGCGACGGTTGTTAAAGTCTCAGCAGATGCGCTTGGTATCTCCTGACGTTTGAAAAGACCAAAAGAGTCATACGCTTCGCCTTGATGTTGGTGCCGTGCTTGCCAGTTCGCACCGTGCTTGCCGGAAAAAGGACACATTGCTGGGGCTGGTTCAGAGTCAACAAGACCACAGTAGAATTGACGACCTACACGACTGGCTGGATAGCTTCAGTCTTTCCTTCGCAGGACGGACGTGGGGGTCCGGCAAGGCATTCATCGGGTCGTGATGCTCAAGATTTGCACAAACGTGGGCGTGTGAAGATCCTGAGCTTCACGAAAAGTGCTTGCCGCGGGGCGCGAATCTGCAGTGCACAGCTTCCCTTCGGTGCTTGAGCATGCCGAGTCCAGAAAGGTCCAACCATGGGACGAGTTTCTGCGCTTTTCTTAAAGCTTCTGCTGCCCGCGTCCTGGTCTTGTCTGACCGATCTGGACGCACGAAGCGGCCTTGGAGGTTGAGGCTTTGTTGTCAAGGGGGTCCCATACTATGCTATGGCTGCATTCGCATCTAGAGCATCGCCGGTCTGTTTGCACTTCGGCTTAAGGCTTTGCCAAAGAGCAGCCGACATTTCTAGCAGTCAGGAAAAGGTCGCAAGAGATAAGAGAAATATGCATATTTAAGATTCGACATGCACGTTCTGCTGCTCCATCGAAGTGTAGACGCGTCCACGTCGATGGAGTGGTTGTCGGCCGATCCTTGGCTGCACTGTGTCTCACTCCAGCAACGACAGGACTTAGTCATTTCCTGCATCTCGAGGCAGTGGAGGCCGTCTCTTCCCTCTGGGAGGCACAACCCCGCCACGGAGCCTCATGACATGTCGGAAGCTTCAGCCGGTTGCAAGGATCCGGCCCCTCCCCAAAAAGCCGGGGCCTCGTCCTCCTGTTGGTGTGCATCAGGGCACGCCGTGGCTGTGCCCGCTATGCAGGATTTTCCACGAACGTTGGAAGGCTTCGAGAAGTTGCCAGTCGCCCGGTGACACCGTCTGCACGTGCATGCGCGTGCATGCGCGTGCTGCAGAGCTTTCCGCTGTTTTCCGAGGCTGAGCCTGGTAGCGGACGGCCTGACCACGTCCCTACCGCATCTGCCTTCGCAAGCAGATGTGGCCGGCTCAGTCAAGCAATCATCGCGGAAATATCTTCTCAGAACGGCTAATGAAGGCCCTCGCGGAACAGATCGAGCATCTCGGCTTCGCGTCACCTGGCTGTCAGCTGGAGGGATCCGGGCCAAGATTTAAAGCATCATCTTCTCATGCTCTCCACTCATCGCCAGTTCTGCTTGGCGTCTTCGCAGGCTCTCCTACTCGGAGGAGAAGGGCACCGGCTTCTTCCGCGTCTTTCAAGAGCGGAAGGCCAGGCGGCAAGCGCCGGTGCGATTTTTTCGCAGTTCCGAGAAGACAGATCGTTGCAGAGTGGTTTTCTATCACGCCATCCGTGCCAAAGGTCATGGCCCTCCTCGTGCAGCACGGTCTCCTCGCGCAGCACACCCTCCGCCGGGTCAGGGCGGCTCTGTTCCGCACAGTGCCCCTCGGACCTGTGAATCGGCCCCCTCATATCATATATCGGCGTTTCCGCGCTGCATGCCACTGCATCCGAATCTTTCACGCTGCTGCAAGCCCAGGGCGATGATCCTGGTAAATGTGGCTCGCCGAGACATTTGAGCACTTGTTGTTCAGCCTTCTTTTCTGTCCCCCTGCGGCTGTTGAGGTGAAGGACGAGTCGTTTCCGCACCTCCTCGATCAGCTTAACCAGCTGGCACAGGGGCAGCACCGGCCTCGGCTGCGCTGGGTCTTTGGTGGAACGGCCGGTGGCGATCGTTTCCCTGATCCGGCCGAGGCCCGAGATCCCGGACAAGTCTCAGGATGTGCTCGCCAAGTTCCCAGGATTCGGGAGATCATCAAAGCAGACCTGATTTTTAGAGCCACTGAGGGCAACTACATCGCTGCACTGAAGCGGATGGCGCTCCGGCTCACCCCACAGCCAGACGCTCACAGGGCCGACCGCTTTGATCGGCGCTGCCCCAAATTAGAAATCACGTGTCGTCCGCGCTTGCGGTTTGAGGAATGCCGACCAGTTCCTGGACGTTCGGGTCCTCGGAGTGTCTCAAGACTTCGAGGGGCGTGACTTGCTTTCAAGCTTGCCGTCTGCATCGCCGAGGCCACAGCTGGCCCTGAGGCGGTTTGCCCGTGCTCTTGAAGTCCATCGTCTCCTGACCGCCCGCCAGGGGGCGAAGCTGCCCCTCATGGAGGAGGCCGACATCTCTGCGTCTCTATTCAGGGTGCATGGGTGTGGGTGGGAAGGAGGTCTCCGTTGCAGGCTGCACGCTATGTCTTCCACGGCTACGACATGGCCCAGATTGGATCGAGAGTGGTCTGTCTCTGCACCTCGGCAGAACTCGGTTTGAAGCTGCCCGAGCCGCGCAGCCAAATCGCACCTGCTTGCCAGGCCTCCTGAAATCCAAGAATCCTCGTGCCACTGGGATGCACTGACAGTTGACGGCGTTTCCCAGCGCGACTGCTCCCCACACCAGGTGCATGGTGCAGCCGTCGAGGCTGCAGCTGGCGGTCCTCGGATTTGTCGGGCTGTGTCGGGCTGGTCGTGCCATGCAGGTGTTGACCAGCAAATTGCTGCCGGAGCTGGCCGAACGGCTGCATTGCGCTTGGGCGGCGTGGCTTGCATTATCGTGGCGGTTCCGATGATGAGGTAGCGCAAAGACAGAATTTCGACGGAACCGAGGCTCAAATGGCAACGGCCATGCAGCAGGACAACTCCAGTGCCCTCCAAGCCGCGCTGGCGAAGGAGAAGGAGCCTGCCTCTCCGGCTTGTGATGCCAGATCTTGTGGTTCATATTACGTTTCAGCTGCTTATAGGATGTGCTGGATTTCATTACCGACCTCGTGAGCCTTGGGCAGCCTGCGGTGACGCAGGCGAGTCCAGCGGCGAGCTATGTGTTCGGAGTGTGTTTTGTGCATGTCAGGCCGTGGCAGAGTTGATCGTTTGCGGGCCTCTGCTCTCCCAGCTGCACGTGCTGGCAGCACCCGTCTGGTTGGGCTGGGCATGTCAGTGAACTCGGCAGCGGCAAGCTGCTTGAGCCAGGCAGCGCGGCACAGGTACGTGAACAGACCCAAGAGCATCTGGGAGGCATCTGACATGCTTGCGATAACTTGCGCTTGTCTTGCGTGGTGTTTCTGGCACGCGGAGATACTCATGATGGATGTCGAGAACAACGGGCGGCCGCCTTGTCGTTGCGCTGTGTTTCTGATGTGTTGATGCACGAGTCGTGACGGCCTGTCATGGCCTGTGCCCGAGGCCCGTGCCATCGCCGGAGTGTGTCGACGCCATGCAGGACCAGCGTTCACGATACGGCACCCATCGGGCACTTGGAAGGGTCATAGCCACGAGGCCGCCGAAGCGGAGAGGGCCTGTGCTGCCGAAGAGGCCAAGCTCGGAAGGTTCGGCTTAATGCGCTCTCGTGGAGCTTTCTGAGGATCCACCGGACCAGCTTGCTGCCGTTCTGGCTGTCCGCTCTCCTCTTAGATCCCATGCACAAGGAATGCAGAGATATGCAGAGGCAGAGGGACGCAAGTTGCAAACTCTGAGGCTCGCTGGCCAATTTCTTGCAGAGGATGCAGACAGAGCGTTTGTCGGGAGTCGTGGTCCCGTTGATTCAGCTGCTGCTGTGGCCAGTCGCGACCTGAGCGCTTTCGCATTTCCTGTCCACTTCCGGTCTGAGCCAACTGCTCCAACCTGAAAGCGAGCGCGAGGCGGTGCCCGCAGCACTGGCAGAGAGCAAGGCCTGTGGCACACAGGGCAGGGCGAGAGAAATTCTGATTGGCATGAGCTGGCGAGAGCTGCAGTGCGCCGCCGTGTTCTCGAAGTTGGGCACAGCCATCGGAGAGTCGGGGAGACTCTGACGGGATCGCGAGCGCAGCTTGCTCAGGGGCCAGCGAACGCTGACAAGACAAGGGCAGCGGTTCAGGCAATGACATGCACGGTCTTATATTGTTTCTGACAGACATGTCACTTGTAGTGCTGCCATCACACTAGGGCCCCTAACCGCTTCAATCCCACAAACCCGCGATGGAGCACAGTCAGTTCATCAACAGCAAGCGCGGCCTTGTGATTTTGCCTTGGAGGCTCTGGCCGAGCTGTGCACAGCCTGCGGAGTGGAGGCGCCAGAAGTGATGCTGCCTCCATCTGTCTCAGCTAGCCTGCTGGTCTGCGTCGCTGCCAGGAAGCGGCGCTTGCAACCTCTGAGGCACCAAGATAAGTTGCATTGTGGGCATTTCTACTGCAGCAGCAGCACGGCAGATGTTCGCCGGAGGTGTCCGCACAGCAGCGCTCGTCGGAGAGGCCAGCTGCGAACTTGCACCGGTTCGGCAATCACAAGCGGCACCTTTCGTGCAATCCAGGCAGATCTGGCTTCGAGATTGCACTGGCGCAGATCTTTTGGGTAAGGCAGCAGAAGGGGAGCATGACAAGCCACCGACTTCTGCCTATTTCTGCACGATTGCCCTGACATGCAGGAGAAGGGGATCAGCAATCCTTTCCGCGGGGCCGTGCAGGTGCGGGCCTTTCTCGCCAGTCTCGTCTGATCATGGTGCGCTGCTCGCTTGCAGTTTTGAAACCTAGTGAGTTAGAGTACCACAGGCCATGCTCCACGACCAGAGCATGATGGGCGTCTCGGGTGTCTCGGCTCGGCTGTGGTTGTTGGGGCCTTTTCCATTGCTCTCATCGCCGGTGCCTTCGAGGCCTTGAGAATGGCTTTGGACGGTGCTGCTGGGCGGGCAGCAACGACAGGCATCATCAAAGGGCCCGTGCAAGTGTTTGGGATATAGCCACACCCAAGTGGGATCCCAAGCATCTAAATCTGAAGATGTTCAGGGTGCTTGAAGCTCCAGGGACGAGCTCTGTAATGTGTTGGCTCTCTTCACGAAAGCTAGCGCCCTTGCTTTGGCGTTGTTCAGGCAGGCAGCGGCAGTGCATCCGTGGTGTCGGGGTGGTTGCGGGACATTTCTTGCGGAAAAGGGATGTGGGTGGGGGCAGGGAGTAGGAATGCATGCCCGGAGTGGAAGCTGCTGCTCTCAAGTGGTCAATGGTGTGTAGTCTTTCAAAGAGGTGTGCCGGTGTGTGTGTGTGTGTATGTATAGCATATGCTGAGTGTGTCACAAAAGTTCGCTTGCTCCAGACGTCTCCAGACACTCGCTCTGCTTACGCCATCGCACAGTCGTTCACTTGTCGCTCACTGCTATAGCTCAACTCAAGCATTCAGTCTCGCTCGTGCACTGACGCACTCGCTTATCAACTTGCCGCACTCCGCTGACCCGGCTTCTTCACCGAACTTGAAAGCAACAGAGCGCGCCCGTCCGCTCACTCTCTCGCTCAATTTGTGTATCCTAGCGCCGTCAATGACTCGTCATCCACGGCTTCACTCACTCATGTTTACGTCTCTCACAAATACCGCTGCTTCTGTGGTTGCTGGTGCTGTTGCTGGTTCCCAAAGCGTGGGGTTGGCTTTTGTTGGCCCTGGAGTGCCTCTCAGCATACCCTGTGATCTTCCGTGCCGGCGGACGTTTGGAGCCATTCTTCCATCGATAGTCACAGTTGTGGGAGAGTGGGAACCTAAACTCACGCGCCTCCGCCAGTATGGTGCCGTGTGCTGCGGTGGCATCTTATTTGCTGCACCAGTGCCAAGCCCTGGACTCAGTGTGAGAACAAGGCTGTGTGGCTTGCTGCAGCTGCATAATTTGACATAATATATCGAAGGACATCCACCCGATGCTGCTCGAGACTTCCGGGCTGTTGCCGAAGAAGGCCGATATGGCTGAGCCTTCTGTATAAAGTACTGTGAACTTTGGGTCGAGGTGGGCTTTTTCCAGGGTGGTGTGCTGTGACACGCATCTTGTGACACAGTTGGGGGATGGCATGCAGGCGGCGGCTCCGGCGGTGCCGAAAACCGGCACCGCCGAGAAGAAGAGCATCAAGCGCGAAGGCCGACGGAGCCAGCTCTGCGCCTTCCGGAGGTTGGCGTGCCTTTTGCAGGTGGTCAGCCAAGGCAGCAAAACCAGACTTTCTGGCAGATGCTGCGATGCTTGTGAAGCACGCAGGCAGCCGGGGCGTCAGAAGTTTCGCGATGTATGCAGGATCAATTTCGACACCATGCTGCAACAAGGTCATTTGATTGATGGAGTGGCAAGTTTTCTGTCACACGGACCGCTTCTTTCCGTGCTTGTCGTTTTCTTGCTTGTCCCTAGCATCAGTAACATCGGTGTCATGTTTGACATGCTGGTCGAGCTCGTCCTTGCGTCACGGTAGTAACCCATGCACTGTGCAGTCCCGTTCTTGCAAAGCTTCGTCGAAGAGGAAATCACTTCTCGGCAGCCCACAACTCGCCATTCATCAATTTTGACAGTGCCCGAAAAGAGGATCGCTGCCGGAAGCCTGCTGCAAAGGCCCCCCGCATCTTGTGGATGCTGTTCATGAGACGGAAGCTAAACGTGTGAGGGTTCTGCTCACATCTCTGAGGACGGCGGGTCTGACTGCCTGCTTGTGATGCTACGAGTCTACGAGCACTAAGCACTCGCGCGCCCCGATTTTTCGAAAATTGCCGCTGCATCCTTGTCGCCAGCTTGACGGCCAGTGCGGGTTCACCTAACAATCCGCTCCATGCAGCGCATGTCTCTGCACAAATTGAATTTGTTCTTTCATTTGGATCGCTGATCAGCTCCCGCTGCTTCGCCAAAGAGCGGTCTGCAATGCGTTCTTGCATGTCACGAGTCAGAAGTCACAGGAGCCAGCGGTGCTCTAGAGTGCAGGTTCTGATTTCGCAGTTGCACAATCGTCGAATGTCTGGAAACCCCCCAGCATAGCCACGTCCGCATCAATGGAGTGGCTTTCGGCCGTTCCTTGGCTGCACTCGAGATGACTGTGCGCTTAGCAGCCAATTTCCAGCACCGTCTCGCTGAGGCAGTGGAGGCCGTCTCTTCCCTCTGGGAGGCACAACCCCGCCACGGAGCCTCATGACATGTCGGAAGCTTCAGCCGGTTGCAAGGATCCGGCCCCTCCCCAAAAAGCCGGGGCCTCGTCCTCCTGTTGGTGTGCATCAGGGCACGCCGTGGCTGTGCCCGCTATGCAGGATTTTCCACGAACGTTGGAAGGCTTCGAGAAGTTGCCAGTCGCCCGGTGACACCGTCTGCACGTGCATGCGCGTGCATGCGCGTGCTGCAGAGCTTTCCGCTGTTTTCCGAGGCTAAGCCTGGTAGCGGACGGCCTGGCCACGTCCCTACCGCGTCTGCCTTCGCAAGCAGATGTGGCCGGCTCAGTCAAGCAATCATCGCGGAAATATCTTCTCAGAACGGCTCATGAAGGCCCTCGCGGAACAGATCGAGCATCTCGGCTTCGCGTCACCTGGCTATCAGCTGGAGGGATCCGGGCCAAGATTTAAAGCATCATCTTCTCATGCTTTGCAGTACATGCACACGGTGACTGCTCCTGATTGAAGGTGAACACTCCGACTTGCAAGGGCTTCAGAGTGACATTGTCAGGGCCTTACAAGCTGAGCGCTCGACGTCGACTGCAGGCATCACCATGGCATTCCCGCTGCCGTAGACCTACGAACTAGGCCGTGAACAGCCGGATCGTCAATGGCGACCGCCTTGGCTTCAACGTCAACAGCAGTGTGGGGCTGTAGGGCTGTAACAGCTGCAGCCACAGCAGCAAAGCAGCATCACTAAGTGCCAAGCAGTGCACGCCATTTTTTGCAGCTACACGGGCTGCCGCCGTTCAAGCTTCGGCTTCGAGAAAAGGTAGGAGATCATTAGCCAGTGCTGCACTTAGCCTTGGCCAGCAACCTCCACGAGTCTTTACGAGCGACAACCGTGAGCCCTTCACCAAATGACCCCGACCCCATGCGGGACCCCCCTCCCCTTTCCGCGCCACCCGCCGCCCAAGCCGAGGCGGTGACTTCCACTTCGGCTCCTCGGAGCTCTTGGGTGCAGGCGACTCATGCAGCTTGAGCTGAAAGCCATCTCTTGCGAACTAGAGACGCTCAAGAAGTGCAGAGAGAAGAGTTGAGCACAGAAGGGTAGAGTCGAGAAGAGCAGAAAGGCAGAGTAGACAAGCAAAGAGTGGAGTAGCTAGAGCAGAGAGCTGCCACAATGTGAACTGTGAGGCAGTCCTGTAGGAGAAAGGGTCTTGCACAAAGGCTTGGCTTCACAGCTCGCAGCCTAGCAGCTTTCATTCAGTACTTCATTTTCCTCCGTGGAAAGACCGCCGAACACTCGTGTTCACCATGCTCGCTTGGTGCATCGTGGCTTTGGTCCCTTTGACACCTTCGTCTGGTGCCACAGTGGCAGAGGAATGTTCTTCTGCCAAAGCAGATGCGGTGACGTCAGCATTGCTTCAACTCGAGCATGTGAGAGATGGGCCGTGTAAGCCCTGGTGCAGCAACCACCCCATTCCCCAAAGCTGCACTTGGAACAACTGCAAGGGCTGCTCTGCATGCGTTACCACCACCACGACCACCACCACGACCACCACCATCCCGTCTCCCTTCGGCTACACCTATGTGGGGACCGGCTATTGCCACGTCCAGCCCGGGGGCTACATCGGTGGCTGGTATAAACCAGACGCCGTTGACCTCGACACCTGTGCACGGCATCTTGGCTCAAAGACCGATGGGACGATGGGCACGAGCCAACTGCTTAAAGGCTTAGCTCTTGCCATACTACCCTAAGTCATCGCGCACATGTAGAGTGTAGAGCTCAGCTTCTAGCTTGGCAGGTTGCGTGATGCCATTAGTGCATTTCTCTTCAAGGAGGTTGTCGTCGCAATACATATGTCTGTGAATCCTCTTGCCACGTCCGTGGGGTGGGGGGGTGTACTGTCGAGTTTTGGTGTATCCCCTTCCGGTGCGTTATGTCACCATCCTCTCGAAGAGTTGGTAGTCACATCGACTACTTCAGGACATTGTGTCCGGAATGGTCAATGTGCGTAGGCGGAAGCCTTTTAGTTCCCTTTTCTTGTTCGCAATCTACATCTTTCTTCCCTCTCAGGAAGTGTTCTTCCGAGCTGAATTGCAAGTACTTCAGCTTGTGGGTCGATCACACTTGTGCTCGCTACAGTGACGACCCTGGAAATTGCACTACGAGGTGGGAACCTAGCAACTATATCACCTATGTCAGGGCACCAGGACGAAGCTATGTTCCGGGTGAGCCTGGAGCTGTGTGGATGCCAGAACATCAGAAAGACATCAGAGCCAAATTGATCCGTGTCTTCCAGGAGCCGGATGGCGTGTGTCGGGAAGGGAACATCCAAGTGCCGGGGGAACGATGGTCAGGTCTACCCACCATGGCAAAGTTCCTGCGCTTGGCATTTCATGATTGCATGAAGTATGCCGATGGCACCGGTGGCTGTGATGGGTGCTTGGAGTGGACGGGTGTAGGTGAGCGCTTCTCGCGAGATCAGCATGGAAAGGCTCAACTGAATGCTAGTGATGATGGTCACAACAACGGCTTGCAGCCAACAGTGGAGATCTTGGAGAAGATCTATACAGATCCGACTTTTCCACAGAAGGTGCCATGAGCATCTCTTTTTCTTGCTTGCTTGTGAAGTCCTGCATGTTTCAGGGCTTGCTTCGTGGTTTTAAAACGATGCTGTCTCCTCTTTGTCGTTGCTGTGTTTTCTTCTTCAGCAGTAACACCAGGCGCCGGCTCTGCCACGGTCGCCAAAAGACAGCGGCATCTCTCGAGCAGATCTGTGGGCTTTTGCTGGCATGGTGGCAGTTGAGCATGGAATCCTACTCAACAACCTCGCCTGTCAAAAGCTGGATTTGGACGATACAGCGGGGAGTCTTTTCTGAAACGCTTTTCAGTTTTTGTGGTGGCGGGGGAGAAGGGAGAGGACAGTGTAAAGAGTCAGAACACCGAGGATTTTGAGCCAATGTCATCCCAGAGTTGGAGAGCCTGATTGCGAGGTGGCCGCTCCTCGTCCCTTCACGTTTGCGTCTGGTCGCAAGGACTGCATTCCGGACCCGACGGTGGACAGACCGTACAAGACCTTCAAGAAGGAACTGCATCCGGATCCGAATGCAAATGCCTCCGTGACGCTGAACTACTTCAAGCGTGACTTTGGATTCAACGCTCGCGAGACAGTGGCCATCCTCGGTGCTCACACATTGGGCCGGGTCCACAACACAATCAGCTTGTTTCAGTACACCTGGAAGACACGCTCGGCAATGCTTTTCAACAATGGCTACTTCCGCAATTTGGCAAGCAAAGAAGATTGGTACTACCCCACAGGATCCTTTCCAGACGGGAAGAATATCCGAAGCACTACTTGTCGTGGTTTCGGCAACTCGAGTGGTCAGCGGCCACCAGCCAGATGGAAACCACATGCTTTCGTCCACTTGACAAATGGTGGTCCTGTACAATGGCTTCAGGAAAAGAAGGCGTGCCCATGCTTCGACACAGGCTTCACACGACCTGAAGAAGGCTGCTGCAGCGACGACATCTTCTCGTGCAAGGCAGGTTGTGAGCAATACCGCATCGTGGTAGGCACCTGGCCTTCGCTGAAGCAACCGGTGTTTCTCGTTTTTGGTGTCAGCTTGTCAGTCTAGTCATATCAGAGTCATATCCCTCGAAATCCTTCGCACACGGGAGCTCCCTGAATATCGGGGCTAGCAAATTACCAGTGCACCCAGGTATGGATGAGACTATGCTTAGCTCCGACATGAGCCTCTACAGGGACTTCTCCACCAATGAAGGCATTCCGGGCGGGTGTCCGGGCCTGGATGGTTACAGCACGGAGTCCATTCTGTCAGACTGGCGTCTTCGCACCCCACGCGTGCCACCTGGCGCTTCTTGGCTTGAGTTCCATATTGTCCCCGCTTCTTCGAGTCCATCTCGAAGTTCCATCTAGACCACAATCTATTCTGAATTCTGCTGGTCTCTGTCCTTTGCCTGTGAAACACGTCGCTCAAAATGAAGCTCTGAGGATGTCCATGGAGACTCTTGGGACTCGAGCTATTGCCCTTTCACCACCATTGCAGATCCACCCGGAAGTACTCCAATGTACCAAGTGGTGGAAGAGTACGCTGACAGCAACGAGAAGTTCTTCTCGGACTTCTTCCCTGTGCTAGAGAAGATGTTGAAGAACGGCTACAGCACTGAGGATCTCCAGGAAACGCCCATGGCAAGCCATGCGTGTCCCTACCAAGACCCCCACGATTGGCACCGCTACTACTCGTGCTTTTGAATCTTATGATATAATCTCATCGCTGGTAAGCAACCCCGATGAGTGATCGCCGAATCTTCTGCTCCGGATTAAAGGTCAATCCGACTTGCAAGGGCTTCAGAGTCACATTGCGAGAGCTTTGCACGCAGAGCCTTCGACCGCAGGCATCACGATCTGCCATCGACCTGCGTCCTGTACGTGCGCCGCATGCTTGGGTGGTGTCAGTTTGTTGCGGGTCTTGATTTGGCACGCTGCGAAGATACTCATGATGGATGTCGAGAACAACGGGCTGCCGCCTTGTCGTGGCGCTGTGTCTCTGATGTGTTGATGCACGAGTCGTGCCGGCCTGTCATGGCCTGTGCCAGAGGCCCGTGCCATCGCCGGAGTGTGTCGACGCGATGCAGGACCAGCGTTCACTATACGGCACCTATCGGGCACTTGGAAGGGTCATAGCCACGAGGCGGCATCGTGGTTGCTGCGCGAGACAGGCCAATTTGACCGAAAGCAGTTGGTGCCGTCTGTGAAAGTTGGGTCGAGGTAGGCTTTTCAGAGCAGGTGATCAAACCATGGCATCGTTTTGGCAGAGTTGGGGTTTGTCGGGTGATGGGACGCAGGCGGCGGTGCCGAGAAGAGCGCAAAGCGTGAAGGCCGACGGACACCGTTTCGGAGCGTGCGCTTGAATTGGCCGTGCCAGGCCTGTGTGTTGCAGGGTCGGAGTGCAGAGCTTTCTGCCGCCTTCTGAGGCTAAGCTTCGTCGGGACGACCACATCTGCTTGGGACGGCTCCAGTCTCAGAACGGCTCCATTGCCCGAAGCATCCGCTTACTTTTCAGAGGACGGCGAGTCATGACTGCCTGAGGCCACACTGCACTCGCACCTCCCAGTCGGCATCGTAGGTCAGGAAGATGCAATGTCTTTTCGAGCGCCGACGTTCCGAAAAGGGGCATTGGCACCGTGTTGCCAAGCTAATCGGAAGGTTCTGCAGGTTTGTGGCATCCTTTCCTTCTCGCTGGCCTGATGAAGTTCGCGTTCTCTACAGCTTCATCAGCTACCGTTCTGCAACGGTACATACTGTGGGTAACAGGGCAACAGCACACGAACAGCACGTTCATCACAGGCTTCTGTGTTCGTTCCATGGGTGGGTGCGGCGGGTGTGGGGCTTCAGTCGTAAATAGCGAATGCATTGATACTGATCGGTTATAGCGCGCGCTGGCAGCATGTCCCATGAATGGCGCATGCATGCAGACAAAAGCCTTGAGCTAAGCAAGCTGCGGTTCGCGTGCTGATGCGGTTCAGTTTACGTTAGAATCTTGTGAGTCTGAGGTCCGCTCTTCGCAGAGTACTTGCTCCTTGCTGGAGAGGTACAGAACGATGTCGAACTGCAGCTTGCGGACCTATGCTTTGCGCCTCTTTGTGCAAGGCAGGCTGGGATGAGCTGGTGAGCACGGAGGACCTGGCCATCGGCCGTGGGGACATCCTGATTGTCGAGGACATGCAGCCACTTGGCCGGATGGCAGGTACAGTTCACCGTGGCAGTGCTCGAGGTTCTCGGGCGCAGACGCGACGACGTGACAACGCCAAGTTTCTGCGCAATGACGCGACGACGGCTGGCGGGCGATCCCTTAAATTTCGATTCTGAGGCTCGGGGCTAAACCCAGAAGGACAGCGCCAAGGTAGGGCGGACACAGCGGGTTGCCCTGAAACCGCTCGCGGAAACATCCCTGCTGTAGCCGAATCCTTCGCCGAACCCCACTTGTATCTTCAGCTTGACTCCACTGTACAACTGTGTATGTATATATGTATATATATATATATGTGTGTGTGTGTATATATATATATATATATATATATATAATATGTATATGTATACGCATTTTTGTACAACTCTAGAGTTGTATATATATATATACATAGGTAGACAGACAGACAGATATATGAATGTACATATGTACCGCGATGTGCTTCTGCACCACAGAGCACATTTGTTGGCTTAAGGCCTAGGGTAATCCTCCATCTTGAATCCCAAGCCGCTAGCAAGGAAAGCTTTTGTCGTGCCATAAGCACATCATGACTCCACGGGTGGTGGCCCTAAAGGTTGGTTTGAGGTTTGGGCACAGGTGTCCATGTCTTAGAGTGTGAGCTGAGCAGATGGTTGCAGAGTGGGATCTTGCATGGAAAAGGCGCAGACATGTGTATGGATAGGTCGGTAGGTAGGTATGTATGTGTGTGTACATACATACATATAGATCTACACACACATACATACATGCCCCCATGTGCCCCACCCTTTTCTCGCCTTTCCTGCCTTGACCGCATGGCCTTATTGGTGTGTTGGGACCCTGCATGGTTTTGGACTCCATCTCGAAGAACACTAGAAATTAGCCTACACGGAGCCCAAAACATTGGAAAACAACAACAAACCACGAACACCATGAGTCAGAAGAGGAAAACCTTAGAAAACCATTGCCAACCATAAAGGCCATGATCTTCAAACTATCTGGAGGCGTGACACCACCCATGCAGGATAGTTTGAACATCATTTGTTCTACTTGTTTCTCCACTGTTTTTTGCTCTGACTCAGCGGAAACATGACATTGGACAAACCAACATAAACGGCATGCACAGAGCCGGAAAACGTAAAAAACACAAACACATATGGCATACACGGAGCCCAAAACGGAGGGACAGCCAATAAACACTGCATACACAGAGCCAGAAACGTTGGCAAAGCACAATAACGAAGGCACGACAGGAGCCCAAGACATTAGGTAAAACAGCCAACAAAAACCATGAGTCAAGAAGCAGAAAACATTGGAAAACCAAAACACGCGTAAACCGTGCCACCTAAAAGGGATGGTTTAAGGAATGTTGTTGTTATGTTTTTTGTTAGTCCGTTCCTAGTTTTCCTGCTTCTGACTCAGTGTAAGTATTGGGAACACCAACAAGAATCATAATTTTGAAATTGGGATAGTTGGAAAATGATGGTTTCATGGTTCTTGCTCGTTGTTTCCAATGATTATGGCGTTTTGATGGACTTGGATTTTTTTGTCCAATGTTTGCTGTTTCTGAATGAGCGGAAACATTGGAAACAGCAACAAAAATGGTGCGCGCAGAGCTTGAAACGACGGAAAAAAACAGTAGAATCTGCGTGCACAGAGTCTGAACCATTGGAAAGATAATGAAAGCCGTGCGGTGCCGCACGCATTGGAAAAACCAATGGAAGCGGTGCAGACAGAGCCTGAAAACTTGGAAACCCCCAACGAAAATTGCACATGCGGAGCCTCACGCAATGGCACATGCGAATACAAGCCAAACTCGCTGTAGGCGCACACATCAGCGGAAATAATTCGGACGCACCAACAACCTCCACACACATGGCACACAAAGCTTACGAAGCACATTCCCCTGTACATGCAATGAGCTGGAAACACTGTAAGCACCAATGGAGTCGCGCATGCGGCTTCCTTAAACCGTCAAGCCACGCGTCAGCACATTAGTTCACGGTCAGTAGCCTTGCTTGCTGACGACCTTGTTTCGCTTCGTTGGAGCTAAAAACAGAACTGTGGCTGTTCTCTTTGTCAGTCATCAGGATCATTAGTGCAATGATTTGTTTCGATGTACCATCTGGAAGAATCTGCCTCATGTGCCAGACAACTGTGCATTAAGTACTGAGTTCAGCAACTATGCCACACTGCTGGCTTAACAGAACAAGCAGGGAATTGGTATTTGCTTTGTCCTCGTTGAACCTTGGATGTTCGCTTCGAGAAACATCCTCAAGCACTATTTCCTGACCTGACATAATTATATTGTCATTGCTTAAACGCGTTCGGGCCCAAGTAAATGCTAAAGCAAGGTTTAATCAATACGTAGTTCGACTGCCGCCGTGTATCTTTCTCACGAAACCTGTTTGCAGGTACCCTTCAGTCCCTATTTCAACCATACCTGTTCAGTATGCAACTTCTATGTTGGGCGCATTGCGTGTTTTTTTTACTGTCTCCTTATCAATAAGCTAAGCGGTGTTTTTGGTATCGCGGAACCGGAACACATTAGCACTTAGCTGCTGAGCCATGAATGTCTACCTATCTGCCTTTCTTGTGCTACCGCACCGATTAGCTACTCAAGTAATGAATATTGCATATTCATGAGGATTACCTGAATACTGCCAATTGTGTGGCTTGAGCAGTACATAGGTGTGAGGCAGAAAATGTGAAACAAGCAACATAACTCGATGTTTGCTCTGGCAGAACATATGAATTGTCCGTGCTATTTGACAGTGAAACTGTAGGAGGCGAACAGTACAGGAAAGCACATACTAGTGGCTGTGGCCAGCGCCTAATGCAGACGAAGTTTTGCAGACACACGCCGATGGTATAGACACCAAGCAGGCAGGTACATGGGCGGGTGGAGTGTAGTACATACACATCTATGTATGTACATTTTCATATATGTATGCACACATGTATATATATATATATACATATGTATATGTATATTTGTACATACATATACACACATTTTCTTACGCACGTACATGTGTCTTGTATGTACGCATGCATGCATGCATGCATGCATACTTATTAAATCACAGTTATACAGATGCAGAATTATATGTACCTGCACAGCTGTCTTTTATGCCAAGCGAAGACGATACGACTGGAGTTTCTGCGTCAAGGCTCGAGGAGCAAACCATGAGCACAGGCGTCCGCGGCGGCTCACGGCATCATGTGGTCACGACGTCACGTTATTGTCCCTACTGCTACCGGACACCACTGGTCTAAGAGAGCACTGTGAGATTGAGGAATGACTTCGTCGAGATTGATCAGCTGAATCCGCAGGGAGGCAGCCCCTTTCTTGCTGAAAGCAGCTGCAACAGTTGCAGCAGCATGAGCACGGTCAGACTTTGCTTTCAGGTGCCTTTGCAGTGGCAGAGGGGAGTACCATCTGTCCACAGATTGTTCGGCTCATTGAGCATTTTGCAACCTGCGTGGAGCCTACACTGCAGCATCCCGTGAAGTTGGTCCAAGTGTTGGTCCAAGTGTGTGCGCTAACCGGGCTTGTGCTGACAGGTGGTGGGGAGGTTGTTCTCACGAGCAGCTCGGTGGCCCCGAATGATTCCAGCATTGTCGTAACGCAAGAAGCGCTTTGAATCGGGTTGTCTCATGATTCGGTGGGACCAAGGATCTTACCACCCGAAGCAGCATTGCTCCTTCATACCACAGCAGGGCCCTTTCCCTCCTCATTGTGTGCAGGGCACAGCTGGCTCCTTTTTCTATGAGCCAATAGCTGCCTGCATACAGAAGTTATATAGCGGGGACGCTCCGTACAAGGACCAGGCGACTTGGATGAACCAGAGGGATTGCCAAATGTCGCGCTCCGATGCTGTCATCAATTGCTCCCACTGCTATCAGGTGAAGATTGCCTTCAAGGGCTTTCACGAGGATTTGGTTGCTTGTTCCCTCCTTCTCCTTGTGGTCCCATCTCTGGCCCAACAGGCTGTGGACTCCCTGGGCTCCTTTGAATACCCAGATGAGCAGAGTTCGTGGGCCCCATGGCTGAATAGAGCCTGAGCTTTTCCTGGAAGCTGGATTTTCAAGCCCAGCTCTGCAAGGAGCGAATCTCCCACGCGGCTGAGCCCAGCGAGAGGATGCTGCATGGTTATCCACTCGCGTCATGGACTGGAGCAGTTCTGCTGGACAGCTCGCATCAGGCTGCGAACACCGTGTAGCCGCGTACAGTCGCCATCCCCGAACGCCTTGGTGAGCCTTTGAAGACTTCTCCGAGTGCTGCTTGCTGCTCCTGAGCAGGCCACGGACGTGAATGCGCCGCCAGACATCATGTCCGTACTACGACGTGAATCATTGAAATCTTGGCTAAGGCACCGTGGGACGATGCTCCCCTGCGATTAGTAAACCCAGATGGTTTGAGCGGTAGCTTTTCGTCTGGATTCCTATCGTGCACAGGTTTTCTTGATCTCCATTCTTTTAATTTTTGATTGAATTGTCTCCAGCTTTCTTTGGTCCGACCTGATGGAATTCAGATCCCAAGATGTCTTCATTGCCGATGAGCCAGTTGTTTTTGCCGATTGTTCCGATGAGCGAGACTCTGATCTAGCCTCGCTGACTCCGTCGCTGACTCTCGGGCCAGAAGTTGGAGTCGAGACGCCTCCGAGTCCAAGTAGCGGACGGAAATCGCGTGACTTCGCATATCGTCGGCCTCAAATCTCTTCGCTCGCGACCTTGCAACCCGAGCCTCGTGGACCGCTCAAGCAAGCCCAAGAAGAGCGCAACCGTGGGGAACGACAGGGAGCAGCACTCGGTGTATGAACCGACTAGCCTCAGGACTTGGACAACCCGAACCATGGTAGGGTTTTCCTGCAGGTTTTAGATCCAATTGGCGCCACCTGCCAACTACTGGGCTCAACAGAGGTGAGAATGCTCAAACGCCGTGCTAGATAGCCGCTAGTATCAGAAGAGAGTTGCTAGCCCTCAGTCCGGGCAATAAACTGTCGCACCCTGCCGCCCGGTAAAGTTGGCGGAATCTGGCCAGCACGACACGCCATTGGCCATGTGCATCGTCAAGAAGTGAAACCGTGGCGGTCCCGTGTCAAGATCTGAATCTTGTCTGCGGTGAAGCGTCATCACGTCTTCCTGCCTGACCCAGGAACCGCATCTTCGTATGTGGGTCTCTTGGCAGAATCCGAGTTGTTTTGATATTCGGGAAGCTTTGACAGAAGCTGCGAGCGTTTCGTGCTAATCGAAGCTGCAAGGTTGGCAATGGATCTGTGTGTGCTTGATACTGCCATCAACGCAGTTAGCGCCGGGTTTCGGTGCCTCGGATCATCATCCAAGTTGCCAGTGCCACCAACTTCAAGCGCACTGATCGCTATGATTTGGGGGTTTTTGTATTGTGGAAGTGTTGTGTCGGGCATCTGCCATGTTAAGATTTGCACTCGCCATCTATGCCGGATCCGGATCAGCAATTCAGATTTCCTTTTGGCCAGGCACATTCACATGGTCATGGATGCTTCCCGAGCAGCTCACCTCCCAAGTATGGGAAAGGCTGGTGCTCTGGCTGTTGTCTCAGAGCTAAGCAGTGCAAGCGCAGACTTGCTGTCAGTTCGGCACCGGCTTCCTGACCGACCCTGCGTCAATCCAGCAGAAGCTGAAGGCAGCAGGCGTGACTGTCGCCGGAGCCTGAGCTGAAACCTTAAACTTCAACAACAAAGCAGTGAAGGAATCGATCTGTAAATATTTAGGTTCCCACGGCTGCGCTTCTGCCAGGCCGGTTGCGAGGGCGCAAGGATTAAAGTTTCACAGCTTAAGCTCTGCGCGCTTCTCTGTGTGCGAGTCCAGGCTTTGTTCCATACAACCCGGTCGGAGAGAAGGAGATTGCAGTCGCTTTAGCGAGGCCGTTTCAGCTCAGATTTTACACAGACGCCGAAGGAGATGCTCAAGTACGGCTTTCCGAAGACACTCGGACCATTCGCCTTGGTCCGTTGCCGAAAACTTGCTCTCTTCGTCGACCGGGCGGCCCGGCACAAGCAAAGAGTTGGGTAGCTGCTGTCAGTACTTTTGAATTGGCTGGCGGCTTTGCTTCAGTGCATGGAAAGACTTCTGGCCGGACAGGTCCCGTGACGCTGAGTACGTAGAGCGCTTTGCCGAAGAATTTATGGGCTACTGGCTCTGGGTCAAGCGTGACCGTGAGAAGTTTGATGCTCAAGCCAGCGGAAATTCGTGGGACACGGTGGGCTTGGAGCTGAACGAGGATGGCGAGTTCTTTCGTCACTACAAGAACGGCCGGGAACCCGATCGCCTCGAAATACCAGTGGCAGCTTCGCAAGGCGCCATGAACTTGCTGTCGGCTGCCTTGGGGGAGTGGTTCGACATCTTCGAGCAGCTGCAGCGAGAGTTCCACTTGGATCTCGCGCGCTTGACGCAGAATGGGGCCCCTGCGCGTGCACCGGCTTCCCGGCAACAAGTGCCAGGACTTCGGCAAGTGGCATGGCGCCGTCATGGGGGCCGTGGTGGCTGGTTTGTAGAGTCGGAGAAGGCAGAGACAACACTTCCCGCTTCAAAGCTGACTGTTGTTTGTGGGATATCAGAGGAATTATCTTCTGTTTCTCTGCGAGACCCAAGAAGCGAGACCTACGAAGACGTAGGGTCGCATGTCCAGGGCTTGTATGTCAAATTGGCAGGATCCAGGGCATGTCGGCATTTTGAGCTTCCTGAAGAGCTCACAGAGGAGTCGTTGGCTCCGATCCTTTTTTGGGTGGACAGCGTCCCGACCGGTGCAATTGTTTTGATGGCTGCAGTCGGGCTTCCAAGCGATTTCGCAACAGTTCTGCAGATACTCGCGCCCCTCGGCGTGCCTCAAGTGCCACCACCCAAGAGCAGTAAAGTCCTGGCTTGCATCTCGACATGTCAGCGCCCACGGGCAGTCGAGGAGGCTGCGGAAGAGCCCCCATGTGCACACCATGCTTCACCAGATATAGCTTATGCTTCGTTGATGATGGATGAAAGCTGTATATAGACGACGCGCCCACTGGGAATGTCGCGACGGTGAAATACCGCTGATCGTTTTCTGGATGTTTATATGTGGCACGGGGGGGGGGCGGGACGGGCCAACAATTGTGCATTCATTTCAGCGCAGTCCGGAGCCAAACAAGTGCTTCATGCGGTACAACGTTCATCATACGTGTACTGAGCAGAGCTTGGCAGTCGAGCTTACGTCGAAAGTGAATGAACAAACTACTGCTTAGCAAGTCAAACAGCTGCAAAAAGCAAGTGAATTATTTTCCGTTGATTGATGTTGCCATCTCTCCTGGTCCAAGTCCAGCAGTGCTGTCGCAAGCTTATTTGCCATGGTGGTCTCATCATCTTTCCAAGAGTTAAACAAACTGCTGGATGAGTTTGCTGAAAGTGATGGGGATGTGGATAGTGCCTACACAGAAGGAAGAATATGTGCTGTGTTGAGCAGTTCGGAAGCTACCTCTGCGTTGCTTTGCAGTGACACGGCAGAGCAGGTGGGGCTGTTTGCCCGAAGATCAACGCAACATGTGCTGAAGGGAGCCGCTTCGGGCCGCTTGAAGTTACAGCGAGCACTTTCCAGATTTTTCGTGTCTGCGGCAGATCTTGGAGATGAGTTTCCAATGACGGCAGTGTTGACTTTGGGTGGGCTGTTGTTGGCCTTGCGGCAAGGCTTCGAACACGCACTGGCTGCAGATGTTCTGGTAGCCCTCCAGTTTGTACAGTCTTGGCTGGCTGGAGGAGCTTTGGAGGTGGTAGTTACAGCATTGATAAGGAGGAACCACATGTTCTCACCAGAAGTTGCTCAAGCAGCTTCTGGATGGCTCTGTGGTTTGCAGGATCAACTGGCAGCTGCGTGTGCGAGGATCTTCCATGAGCCTACTGGGAAAGACTTCGTGGAATGGTTGGAGTCTTCGTACCTGAGCAGGCTTGTTGAAACACTGCTGATGGCAATGCGCTCGGAACCATGCTTCCATCATCTCGAGATGAACCCTTCGTGCTGGGACATTTTGGGACGCATGTCCCTCAGGGGCAATGCCAGCGCCCTCGCTCGTGCATTTTGCAAGGCGGCTCTCACTTCGATGGATTTCGCCGTCATGCTGGGGAAATCAATTTCAAGATTGGCAGACCAGCATCCACAAGCAAGCAGAGCGTTGGTTTGTGCAATTTTGCGCGCTGCAGGAACATTCTTTCAGACGTCTGGCTGTCGGCTGGTTGTCTGCGGGGACGAAGGCATGGCACGGTTTTCCGCATTGATACATCCATCGTTAGGAACTGGTCGCCCTATCCAGCAGCTTCTTGCCGTCCAGCTTTGGCAGAAACGATGTGGCAGTGAATTGTCATCTGCAGCAGTCTTCTTTATAGTTGACACGATACATGCAGCTGGGGTAGACTGCTGGTGGCCAGCCTATGCACACTGGTTAGAGGCATGGGCCGATCCTTCCCATTTTCAGTCTTCAGACCTCGCGGCGGAACGAAACTTGGCGCTGAGACTGGCACGAGCAGCCCGTGTACACATAGCGGACCAAGATCCGATCCCTGGACATTCCTCGAAATATTTATTGCAAGGTATTCATCTCAGACTGTCTGCGCAGACGAGAGAGCGACGATTGCTCGGAATGGCCTTGGCCGAACTGTTGGCCGAGCGCTGGTGCTCGGGAGTCGACGAGCAACAAAAGCAGCTCCGATTTGATGGCTTCGACAGGCTGGCTTGCTTGCTTTATTTTCTTTGCGTGCAAGAGATAAAAATCAGGATATATGGGTGACGGAGTGGGGTGTGGGTTGGGGTGGGGTGTTCGGTGAGGCCTCGCCCTGTGCCCCACCCTCACGCTGGCGGGCCGGGGCCGGGCGGGGCGGGGTGGGGAAATATGCGTCTGTGACAGTTGGAAGATATAGCCCCTGGAAACTTACCACCGCCCGGTAACGTGTGTTGTACGATAAAACCGTCCAACCATCATCAAAACCTGAATTGAAGCGCGGCTTCGTGGCAAGGCGCGATGCAGCTGATACTCGGCTGCAAGTTGCGTGACAACATTGCCACGGGCAAGGGAAAGAATAAGAGCTTCGTTCCTGTTTCGAAGAGGTGGCAGACTTTCAGCTGGCTGGCGCCGATTTCGAAGTTGTTGGCGACTGAGTCGTGTTCGTCCCAACTTGTCGCCGGACAACCGTCTCGGTTCTCAATCCCGGATTGCGCAGGTCGCCGGGGAAGTTGTGGCAGAGACACATCCACAAGTTCCGTCGGTCGTTAGGAGCTTACATGGACTCGGGCAGGGTTTGGGCAGTCAGCATGCTTGGCAGCCGTGTGCTTGAGGCAAGCTTTGAGAAGGAGGAGGTGGAGGCATCTTTCGTTGCGTTGTATTGCAGGATGTCGCAGCTTTGTGTGTTTTTGCGCAAGGAGCTTCCTTGCCAGACCCTGTCACAAGCAGAGCCACAGCCGGTGCCGGAAGAGGACAGCGACGACGAGGATGAATGCCATCCGCTCCGTGCTTACCTCAGCGCTGCACCCGTGTTCGATGCACATGTTTTGGTATGGCAGAACCAATTGCGCCGGATCGCGGCTTCTCGTCGGTCGCAGGTGGGTTGTCTCCCTTGCAGCCATTGGATGTGCAAAACGACTCTTGCTCGGACCTGCTCCTCGTCCAGTTCCTGCCCCATCAGGGCTCGTGGATGCTTGGAATACAGTTCGTTAGTGGAGGAACCGTCTTCGAGCGCTGCAGGCATCCCACTTTCCTCCAGAGTGCGTACGAGATGCTGTGGGGTACCCATGACAAAGCAACGATATTTTTGTTTCCTGATGGTGAAGATGTGACTGCAACAAAGGCTTGGGCCTGTAAAAACCCCCTCCACGCCGCTGAGTGACGAGGACTGAGCAGAAGCTTCGAGTAGCAAAGCCGGACTGAGCGCTCTTCCTGGAAGGCCTTCGGCAAGCCAGGCTCTGCTCCGGAGCCCCCAGCCGTTGCCTCAAAAGTCGTCCGAAAGGCCGCGAGAAAACGTCGCTAAAGGGCCGAACAGTGCACCGATCTTCGGGAGACTTGTGTTGTTGCAGCTGCTTTTTGGTAGATCTGTGTAGCTGATAGTAAACGATGCCTGTTGCAGTGTCGTGCACCAGCGATTCAAGGCAGTGGCACGGGCCAGAATTTGGACAGCCTTGGTCGAAGCCTAAACGTCGGTACAGCATCAACGAGGTGCTCGAGCTTTTGGGTTTTCGGAATCTCGGCAAGCCAGGCAGACCTGCCTGCGCTTCTTGCTGCGGGTTCTGATGATCTTCCCAGGCAATCTGGCGCTATATCGTAACTGCGTTTAATTGCCTGTCGACTTCAGGCTTGCGGAGCCCCTGTGTGTTCGTCTGCTCCGGCTAGAGGCGAGACGAATGCCGAGGGTTAGCGCATTGCAAAGTCTGCTGGATGGGATGCGAACCCCTCGGCCCGACCTTGCTAATGTTGCACACTGAGAGAATGAACAGGACTGCGGGAAGCAGTTGTTCACTGCGTGTTCATAGATTTTGTTTGGTGGCGGTTTTTGACAACATACCCCTTCCACAGGTTACAAAAAAGCTTGTACCGATACGTCCTCTTGTCGTGAATCCCAACATTCCGGAGAGGCAAACGAAACAAGAAAGAACAACTGCTGGTTGACGCGGGTTTTTAACACAGTCTTCAGAGCGGATTTGCAGGCAATCGCGGACAGGACCCTTTGCCTCAGCCACAATAGTCTACTGCCCTTGAGTGACGGGCAAGGGTCAACGGCCTGTATGCCGGAGAGCTGCAGCTTGCAGGTGAGTGGCCAAGAACTCCAGGACATGAGAGTCGAGGCCGTGGTGCTACGGACGCCCATAACCCGCCGGATTCTGCCTGCCACAACCTCTACCCACTGCCTGCAGGCTCTCGTGGCCTTGCTGGTGGCTGATGCTAGCCGGCGCCAAGCTGTTCAATGCCTCACTGCAAACTTCACTACAGAGGAGCACTAGAGCACAGAGCCCCAAGTGGTCTTGCGGCAAAACACCTCCCAGGACCTCTCCTTGAACGAGCGCCGAGCTATTCTGCTCGTGCTGTCGTCCGCCGCGCAGAAGCTTTCGAGCAAGGAGGCGGGACCGGGGGCACGGGCGCAGGCTGTTACTTGTCCCACTAGTCCACTGGTACTTGCCATTCGCCCCACATGTTCGGGACGTGCAAGGTCGAGGAGACCAGGGCCGCAGGCCAAGGCCACCAGGGCTGTACCGCTGTGCCGCTGTGCGTGGCACTGCGTCCAACTGTATTTTTCTCGAGTCCAGGATCCTCGCCGGCAGCACAGCTTTCCGGAAAATCGCGCCGGTTTGCATCAGCCACGAAGATGCCGGCATCTTTCAGAAACAGGAGACACCAGCCGTGTCGGGAGTGCCTAGATGTGGCAAGATGTCAGCGAGACAGGTTCTCCGCAGAAGCACGCCATTTCGTACTTCCGCTGGTGAACAGGCCCACTTCTTGGAACGGCGTACATGGCGCGCGTTTGTCTGCTTCGTGGATGACAGACTGCCAAGGTGGAAGCAGCCCGATGGTGGAGCAGCCAAGTGGGCTGTGGGCAACATCCCTATTTGTGCAGCACAGTGTCATTCATCATGTATCGTGCCGAAGCATATCGATAGCGACGAGATAGTCACACTCACGTTGAAGGGGAGCCAAATCTGGTCGCGGAGTTCCTTCGGTCTCTGGCGGTCTGCTTCCTGGATCGCGCTGCACATGCGAGCTTCTCCATGGTTGCAGCTGGTTGAGGTCATGCTCGAATGCGCGGGCCGAGCTTGCTCGGACCGGGAAGTGCTCTGTCAGCATTGCGTGGAATTGGCGGAAGAGGCCGTTTGATAACGTAATATGTGTAGTTTCGAAGTGAAATGCCTTGGGAATTTGTTCCTAGAGGCTCTGCGTCATTTGGAATCGCAAGTCCGACGCTGCAGCTTGTTCTTGCTGTCGTGGCCTCGGCTGGTGGATGTGGGGAGAGACACATCAGTGCAATTTTTCGTGGTTCTCAGGTCTCGCATCGTGTTGGTTGGATGTGAAGGAACGGTTCTGGACAAGGGAGAGATCATCGACCAGTTGGAGGCAGGATGGATTGTTGATAGCATAAAGCTGCACTCGTGCCCGATCAAGCTCAACGCAGGCCCTTCCATTCAAGGAAGCAGATGAGACATGCAGAAGGCTGCCGGAGTGCTGAAATCGTGGCGACATCTGGGGCCATGCAGCTATTCCTGGCTGCTTCAGGATGGCAGCTGGCATACTGGCATGTTTGAGCATGAAGCCCCAGCATTCCTCAGTGTTATGGCCGTGCTGCAGCGCAAGCAGCGTTTTGTTGGTATTGCTTTTTGTCATTATTGGCAGCATAGCCACAGCAGTGGCCGCAGCAGTAGCGTGGTGCGCTCCGAGGCTCATGTTCAGGCTTGCAACGGTTTGAGACTATTGGACCATTCTAAAAATGTTTTCTTCTTCTTTTCAATAATGTCTTCTTCGGCATTCCGTTAAAGCAACTGCCTTTTGTTTGCTTCTTCGTGGTTTGCTTCTTCCTGTGCGTTGATCTTGCGGGTGCTTGTTGTTGTCACTGGAAGTGAGCCTGTGGTGTTACCTGTTGTTGTTGTTGTTGGTAGAGAAAGACGCACCGGGCCCGCCCCGCGACAGAAGAAGCAAAAGCAAGAGGTTGTTGTTCGGCTGGGACTTTTGTTAGTTCCTTGCTGCTGCTGTTGTTGTACTTGCCGCCGCGAGGGTCTGTCGACTTCAAGCCTACGAAGACGTCGGGGTTGGACTTTTGGAAGGTGGTCCAAAAAGTTTTTCTCGCGTCGTTTGTTGCAGCAACTTGTGCAGCTTAATGGCAGAATTTCTGTCATGGCTTGTGTTCCTTTGCTAGGGTTTGTACTTTTCAGGTGTTTGCCCCGGGTGAAGGAGTTCTGTGATCCTTTGCCTTGGTATGCAGTGTAGAATGGTGCGAGCGCTGTTTCCTGTGGCTCCGGCGATTGTTATGTGGATTTGTTCCATGTCAAGATGTCTGGGCTATATAGGTGAAGGGGTTGGGATGGGAAGGACGATGTGCATGCTAGTCTTTGCGCTTGTTGTTGCGGTTGACCCGCTTGTGTTTTGCTGCTGTTCTCATGTGCCTCTTTCGAGGTTGAGGGGCTGCAGGTGCCGAATGTCAGACGTAAAGCGATCGAACATCACGCAATTTGGGGCGTTTTCTCACCACGTGCCGGACGAACGACACATCAACAACAATGCAGAAGCCTATGGCAGTCGAGGAGAAAGTACAAACCTAGATCACATGCAGCCAGGAACGCCGAACACCGCGGCATCAGTGACACTTTCCCACATCCGCCTTCCCAAACACTTAAAACATGGTATCGCAAGTAGTGGCCTCGAAGGCGAATGCAAACACCCGAGGTTTTTCTCGTTCGTCAGAAAGAGACCAAGCCACCCGTCCGCCGCGGTACTTGCACTGCTTGCCTTGTTGTCGTCGTTTCCTCCGGGAACGTATCCTGCTCTAAAGAGGAAACTGCTGTTGGAGCATGATTTAGTGCCACGGGAACGGAGGGGGGGGGGGGGCAGGACGACAAGAAAACTCATCAACCTTTCCGATAGTAATCTCTTCGGACGTGGAGCATCGATTACCTGTACGGGACTTTGGAGGACAGGGTTGGAGTCATAAACAGGCCGAAGCCAAGGCCCAGAGCAAAACAGGAGCCGAAGTACAAACCAAACTGGAAACAAAAGGGACCGTGCCTGCATCGGATGGGTGGATCCTCACAACATGCGGGGGCGCACTGATCGGGGGGGGGGGGGAGTTTTGCTCCTCGCCCTTAACCCTTCAGAAAGAAACAGGTTAACATTGCTCAATGAGTGAGTTCCACCATAGCTACTGCGTCCAACGGACCATGCCAAGATCGAAACAGTGGGGTTTCCTGCTTGGCATGTGCCGGTCGGGAATGTGGTTGCCTGCACCAAGGCCAAACCGTCCTGAGTGTGGGGGGCTGACTGACTGTGACTTCGTATCCTGCACCAACACTGTACAGCGTGCGGCAGCAAGAAACGAACCTTCCCAGAAGACACTGACCTAGGAGTGCGCTTCTTGCTTGCCAGTCGCTCCATGGACTTGCAATTTTGCATGTTCCATCTTCAGCTTTGGCTTAAGGCAAAAGGCTGTGGCTGTAGCTAGGCTGCGGGCAAAGGGACCCCGTAGCACTGCGGCTTCCTCGACACCCTCGAATACTCGAAGTGACATTAGCGCTCAGGGAGGCATGGCACATCCCGGTGGCATCGAGTCCCCGGCTTTGATGGAAATTCCTACCTTTAGAGATCAAGTTGCCGACTACAACATCTTTGAAGTCAGGATTGATGGTGGAGGCAAGCGCCTCCCTTCTGCCCAGGACTTGCTGCACGATACTGCAGACTGGAGGCATGCTTGATCTGCTACCGTTAAACCTCGGCTTTCGCCCAGGACTTGGACGTCACAGTGCTGGCGTTTGCACAGTGGCTTTCCGAGCCACGGGCTGCAGCAAGCGATCCAGTGTGATGTGCAAGAAGACGCAGCTTCAGCACGCTGCATCTACGAGTGAGTTCAGGAGATGAAGTTGCGCAGCAACTCTTCCCTTCAGCAGATGCTATTGCCTCAGAACCGTGCTTCAATTTGCTCTTGCCTCACCTCAGTTGCGCTTTTTCCGAGGCTGGCAGAAATGGGCATCATCCGCAATGGTATCGCCCTCGACATGCAGTCGATTCAACAGTGCTTCTTCATGTGCTTCCCTGCGTTTTGGACAATGACAGGCATTACGTCCAACAACACGGATTTGACAGAGTTCAAAAGAAACACTGCTACCGTGCAAGCCCTACCAGAGCGCTGCGTCTTTGACTGAGACCTGGCCTGTTTGGATGCGCTTTCCTGGTATTGCTGTAGTCGCATGGAAAGGTGCAGCAGCAAATGCAGTCGCAGATCTCCGATTTACGAGACAAGCTGACTGATGCGTGCCCTCGCAAGTTGTTCCCAAGCAGCCGATGCTAGATTCTTCCAGACATCTGCCAGTCTCAGGGCTGGATCACAGAAGATCAGGTACACCGAGATCGCCAACATGAAGAAAACGAAAAGTCATTTCGAGCAGGAGGTGACAGGAGCACTGCCAGGAGCAAGACTTGCTGTTTAGTCTCTCGCAGGTCCATGCAGACTGCCAGTCTTTGTCGGAGCAACTGCAGTGAGCATGGCATGCTTGCATTTGTTTGCAAGTCCATAGACTTGCCGGGTGCAGCCTCGTGCAGCCTCGAGCCAGGTTCAAGACGCTGGAGCTTGAAACCTTGAAAAAGGCCGAAGACATAAGATCATAGAAGTTAGAGCAGATGCAGAGGGCAGAGGAGCCGGCTAGAATCGGGAGGCTTATGCTCACACGCATCAACAGCTCCAGCAGCAGATCATCCAGTTGCAAACAGAGGTGCCTCGGCAGCTACAACTGTGCCCCATTCCGTTGGCTAGCAGAAGCTTCAACCGAGACTGTGCGTTCTAGGTGCGCAGCTTCGGTGCTTCTGTTCCGCAAGGTTAACGAGCTCAGAATGAAGGGCGATGATGTGAACAGGCCCGCGACTGAGAAGATCAATCCCTGGAGTGTTGGATGTACTCACAGATTCTGCATAGCAGTTTTGCACCTACATGCAGACCTGAAAATGCCTCTGGCTCATGTGTCATCTCAGGCAGCAGCATCTCACTTTCGAGCAAAGCGTCAACAAGGTCTCTGAGGTCGCAGGGCTTCCTTCATTTGTGGATTTTGAGGATGCTGCGACCGTGTGCTAGGTCCGGGTCGATTGATGCATGCTTTCGTTTCGGCTTAAGTGCAAAGTAGAACATTCCGTCACCGGGACACGATGGCGCAAACCCAAATCGCCATCGAGTGTCCCGTGAGCTGTCGGGGCGCTCCCGACACTTTAGTTTGGGAGGCCAGGTCCACAGCGTCTGGAGTCTAGTCAGAAGCCCTCCGGACGAGGCCAGCGTGTCGTCCGCCGCCGGAGCTTTCTCGCAGAAGAATTTCCTTCAGAGGCACGGGTTCGCAGAACGTTTTGGTGAAATCGCAAAAGTTGGATCATCCGACCGTCTTCAGGTTTGAAACAGAACAGGGCTTGGAAGCCAGACTCCGAGCGGCAGCAGTCCGTAGGAGACAAACTAGCTCGAAGTGCTTCAGGAGAAGCTCGCGTCGATCGAGTTTGCTCAAGGAACCCGAGGGTTTGATGAGCAGGCCGCAAAAGACTTCGTGGTGTTGGGGTTGTAGGTGGTGGTTGTGCGATCGGTCAGGTTGTCCAACCGACATTGGATCAGAATTTAGTTCTGTCTCACCCCGAGTCTCTTGTGCAGTACTGCACTGAGTCTTGTCCCAGTATTTGCATGCCCAAACTGAGGCTCAGTCCTTTTGCATCGGCGGATGTCCGCCACCAAGTAATCCAGGACGGCCAGGCCACGCTGCGTCAAAAGCACGAAAAACCGAACGACCAGTGCAGGAGAACTGTCTGGAGCCCGTTGAAGATCAGGCGGAATCTGGCGTATGGGTTCTCGGGTGATGTGGGCTTTGGATCGTGCCCCAGCTGTAGGCGCTTCTCTGCCAGAGCCGGAGTCGTTGCCCTGGGAAGCTCCCTGCCAAAAGACCCTTAGAGGTGCCAAAAGTCTGATGCCACACTGTTGATGCCAGAGGCTCTCATGGCTCCCCTCCCACTTGCAGGTGCAGGACGACAAGCTTCCCTGCGGCTCCCGCACCACCGAGGCCTCTTGGCCTGTTGGCCCTTGGCCCTTTGGCTTGCTGGTTTTCTCCAGTTCTTTGGTCTGGTCTGCAGATGGCACTCGGAAGTCAGAGTCAGGTTGCTGGCGGCGTTCCACGCTTGCCGTCTCTCGAGCCTGGGTCCAAAAAATTGGTTCCACTTTTGCCATGCCTGTGTTTGTGTGCCTTCGGCTGAAGGTCTTGTTCAGTTCCTGCCCATCCAGCGATATGCGCATTACTGCTCGGTGCACAGTGCGGGGCTAAGACATCGGCTCAGCCGCTTTGTTCACGTGTCTCAGAGAGCTCTTCCTTGTGTGACAGCATGGGGCAGTTGAGGCCAGGCGAGCGAGTGCTGGATCTGTGCGGATCTGGTGTCAAGGCCCCTGACCTTCGTGACTAGGGCCTAGGGCTTGCGATGACTCTTTCTCATGTTTCGTCCCTGATGTGCAGCTGTGGCTGTAACCCCGTTCAGGCTGCAGTCCTTGCCTGCTGCATGTTCTCCGACAGACTCTGCCTGAGTTGGACCTTCGCCGAAAGCCGATTACAAGCTTCCTTTCATGCAGGTCGGAGTTGGCTTCAAAGTGTAGGTCATGAGTCTGGTGCGCTGGGCGACGGAAGGCTCGGCTTCTTTGACTCCAGAAACACATTACAGTATGCAAGTACCCCAGTCCGACCTGGCAGGCCAGATGCTTCGGTTCTGGTCTCCAACGCTCCCGACAGGCATGGTGCCTGGTGTGAGACGTGGCGCTTGAGAAGTGAGAAGACTTGCAAAGAGGACATACGTGCGAAGCATGGAGCCATGGCTTCAGAGTTTGCTTCCCGCGGAGGCAAGCTGGCCTTTGCTGGCTTTTTGGGTTTTGACAGAAAGAGGGGCATATTGGGACCTGCGAGGTTCCAGTTCTCCAAGCTACAAGGTGCCTTGCTGGAGGTTTCGGGCGAGTCGACGGAATCATGGGCCCGGCCAGGACTACAGGAGCTGGCCACATCCTCCTCAGCAGTGTGGAGGCCGGGACCGCCATGAGAGCGGATGCGTTTGAGAAGTTCTTTGCTTTGCCCAAACGGCATATTAGGAATCGGAGTCTGGGCTGTCTGCAAGGCATGGCAGAAGCAATCACTGCTCCCACTGCAACGGTCGAAGTCTCAGGTCTTACAGATATTGCGGTGGCACTTCGCATTTTTCTCGGCTAGCCTCCACGCATGCGAGCTTTCAGCCAGCATAACAGTTCCTCGGCTTTGGGCTCAGAGTTGCAAGAGGGGCCTGGCTTGCCGCTTTGCAAGGCGCGTGGCGGCCCTGCTGCCCTTGCTGAAATGGCGACATCCCAAAATCATATACTTCGTGTGCTTCAGGCATCCCCCAATGTCCGAGATCTTTGCGGATGCGCTCGTCGACGGCGAGCCCAAAAAGAGCGCGAGTTTCGAAGCAGATGGCTTTGAGGACCTGCCAAGCTGCCTGAAGTTTTCATGTTTAGGGCTTTGATGCATCAGGATGACGACGCAATGCTTTTGGACCCGCCAGACCCGGTGGATCTTCTGATTGCGCACACTCACGCAGATGAGGCCGTCAACCTCGGTGCAAGGCCCCACACGTCCGCCGAAGAGAGTAGCAGCAGATTCGTGTGCCGACGCTTGCTGTTCGCTGCGATGTGCTCGGGAGGCCTCTGGACTTCGTGCGAGCGAAGGTCTCAGAGTTGAAGAAGGAAAACAAGAAATTGAAAGACAGGCGGCCCGTGCTATCTGCTAGCATTGCAGCATGCCACTTCTCAGATGGGGAGGCTCACAGCTTCATAGCCTTGCATGGCAGGGTAGCCGACTTGGAGCAGACGCTCTCGATTGTGCAGACAGCGCAGGAATGGACGCTCGGAAAAGGCCGGATGTGACTGTCAAGCACATCCCAGTTTTCTGCACAGCACAGTATCGGTGGCAATCTTCCGAGGCATGACACAGGAACAAGCCATGAGGATGCAGGAAATCAAGCTGCTTCTAGAGCAGGCAGCGGCTTCCGAAGGCCGGCAGAAGATGCACCTTTTTTGTTTCAGTTCTGTAGGCGAAGAAGGCAAAGGAAGAAATGCATCTCGACGGAATCTGTCCAGCCTTTGCCGTAAAAGCATTGTATCGCTTTCCCGTCGCCTGAAGCTCGAAGACCGGCGATCTGAGGCAAAACTTCTCCAGTGCCAGCCGCGCCGCCCTGTACGAAAAGCTGCGGACAGTGAAGGCACAGCTGCGGCGAGAGCGCCAGGAAAAGCAGGAGATGAAGGCCGGAAGGTGGCAAGTTGCAGTGACTGCCGTTCGGCGTGAGAATCGCTCAGTCGCTCCGTGCCTGAGGATCGGCTAATGCACGCCTTCGACCATGCTCGAGCACATCGAGATGCCTATCGACGGCTGAAGATGCAGAGGGACGACGAAAGCGAAAGGTGGCAGCAGGCTCTGAAAGAGACGAAGGAGCGGCATCGATTGGAGCTGCGCCGGCTCCATGGTGATCCCGCAGCGATGCAGTCGGATCGTCAGGACCAGTTTAGTTATTATGGAGAGAAGGTGATCGACGATCTTCTGGCCTTGCAGCAGCATCTGAAAGGTGTGCGAGAGCGAACAGTAGACACGGTGGTCTTGGACGGGGTTGAAGACTTCGCAGATGCGGATGCGGAAGCTGTAGAAGCTGAAGGCTTCGGAGATCCGGCAGAGGGAGCGGAAGTCTTCGCCACGACTGACGCCTTCGGCTCTGAGGCAGAGGCAAAGGAGACTGAACTAGCTGGCGATGTAGCCAGTGGAGTTGTCGAAGGTGCCGGAGAGCCCGCAGAGCAGGCAGAGCCCGCAGAGCCTGCAGAGCCCGCACATCAGGCGGATGACACCCCGGCCCCACCAGACATTCCAGCAAGCGAGGAATAAGTCTCTCAGGTTTCACCTTATCATTCCATGGCATGCGTTGCATAAACCCCAATGTGTGCAGAGAAGCTCGTCAGCCACAAGCTCCCAAGTATCCGAGCAAGTTTCACTGTCTCACACGGTGATCCAGGATGTCTCGAGTTTGCTGCTTGAGAATGCCTGCGAGAGAGCTTGCACGCTTGGGATGTGGGAGAGTTCCAGCTTCTAGGCCCAAGGCCGAGGTAAACACGTGCGATCTGAAGGCTAGGGCCCTTTGACCGAATCATCGTGGATCCCACCTGCGCTTGCGGCTTCGGAGCAAGGCCAGGATACAGACTGCAGCTGCCTTGCGGTCCAGCTCAGAGCGAGTTGCCTTCAGGATGCCCGATCTGAAGTATCCGGAGCTTGCAGAGGCGCGCCCACGGATTCTGAACATGTGATGCACTTTGCAGTCCCGGCCTGCTTCTGCAGTGCACGACGAGAGTGAAGTGTTGCAGTCAGATGTTGGGCACGCTTTTGTGATGCAGCACCACAGCTCAGGTGCAGATGTAGGCAAGTAGCTGGGTGAAGTCATACCCAGCGGGGGTTGTATGGCATTGCAGTACTAGGAACCTCCCAGCTCGATTTATGCTCCTTGCTGATGCGCGTACAGAGAATAGGTTAATAGAAAATCCAACACATTGGCACGCAATCGCCTAATTTAGCCGAGCAGCCTGTTGCAACACAGCTTCCGATTCCACCACCCCAACTCAGTCTCGGCACGAAGTCTTCCAAGATGTGCACAACTCACCACTCGGAATATTTTGATCACAACGTGTGTAAGTTCTATTGAGCAGGTGGACAGCAGCCTCCAGATGCATAAATCTTTTAAGACCATCCTTCGTCGGCTCTGCCAGGAACCATTCTGAGCCGAGAGCGAGTGTAGTGCGAGATTGCAGGCGCTGCTATGCAATGCAGCGAGACTTCTACGCCCAGGAGGCATACTCCTCTACTCCACAACGCGCCCGGAGGCACTCCGAAATTTGATTGAAAGCTTTTGGTGACGCGCCAGTTGCAGGAGCGGGCCCATGATTCTGTCGTTCGCGGGCTCCTTCGGAATGCCAAAGAGGACCTCGAGGCAAGTACCTGCAAATTGACGGCGCGTAGCCAGCCTCAGAGACCTTACTCCACCGCAGGTCTTGCAGCCAACTCAGCAGCTTGACGTTGCAACTGCCAACGCCCCAGCAAGTGGTGTGAATGCTGAGGGTCCCGTAGTGATGCAGGGACTGACAGCTTTCCGCCGAAAGGCCCGGACCGAGCACGGCCAGCTGTTGACCCTAGGACCGCCAGAGCTATCTAATGTAAGAACCTGATTAAGAAGCCCCGGGCCTATAACCCCAAAATAGTAGGATTCAGTTAAGGAACCCTAGTAGAAGCCCAAGGTTTCTTCATCAGGTTCCTACATTACCGGCTTGCTTGCGAGATGCCAGACATGACCTGGAGGACGCAAGCCGGATCAATGCAAGGTTTATCTCTGCAGGCTGAAGAGAGCCACTTGAGCAGGGCCTTGTCAAGTTAATGCATCGGTGCGTGGGCTGTTAAACGCAGTTCGGCATTATTCATTATTTAGACGTTGGCAAATAACCATCCCATTGTTCTTGGTGTCGTGATTTCGCACTTGGATGCCAGCAGCCAACATTTCACCGGCACTCGCCCCGACTCGCTTGAGTTGCAAAAGAGCCTCGTCTCGTCCCCGCGAATCTCCTATGCAAGTACCAAAGTCTCTGCAGTGGCAGGTGGAGATGGCAGCGCAGTATGCCAACAACGAAATGAAGAGGCGTGTCCGAATCTGACGTAGGCTTTCTTACCTTTCAGGCTTTCAGGCCAGGACAACTTGCCCCGGAGGCTCCGCAGCGAGCACGATCAGGCCATAGCCAGCCTCGCTGACAACATGAACAGGCGCCTGGGACACTGCTCGGGCAGGAGGATGCAGTTTGATCCTGGAAGTGTCGAGCACGCAGGTGGAACGACACCGTGCGAGACCTGTCAAAGGAGTTCCATGACTTCCAAAAGGTGCCTCGGCCCCTGGTCATGCGAGCCATTGCAACCCACCCTGGACGTTAGTGGGCAAGCTCTTCCTGCTCCCGACGACGTTGACTCGTTTCGGCATTTTTTGGCTTCATTGGCAAGCAAAGTTCGGCGCCGCACCCTTCCAGACCGCTGTCGCTTTCATTTATCCACATGGTCTCCGCACAGAAGTTTTTTCAGAGACTTGTTCTTGCAGCCTAGTTTTCCGCAAGCATCAAAATCAACGAGCGGGTTCCCGCAACACGCCGAAGTAAAGTTCTGGCTCACTTTGTGTTTTGCTTTCTTGCAAGTGTTACAGTAACTCTTGCCGATTTGTTGTTATCAGGTGCAAGCTCCTCAGCAGCTTTAGCAGGCATCTGAAACTGTGGCAGAACTGTTGAGCGTCGTTGCCATCTCTAAACGTGATGCGGTGTGTTTGCCAGATCCGAGTCAGGTTGTCTTATCTCACCAGGAATATTTCAACAACCCGTAGGCCTGGCTAAGAATGATGTAGTCCCACACTGATGTTTTTGTCAGCCTTCGTTTCCCAACATGAGACTCTGTTGTCTAAAATTTCCAGCTTTGTCATGTGGTGATGCTTTGATAGCAGTGTTGTACTCGTCACCGCAACTGCAGGTGATGAACGTCAATCACCAGCGGCTGCAGAGCTCTGTTTGGGAAGTGCAGGCATGGGAGTTTGGGATGCTTTCCTGAACTTCCCATCAAGAGACGTGCGCGGAACTGTTGCAGGGCAAGCTGGGCCAGGCTCCACTTGGTGCTGTGCAGATTAGGTTCCCCCCCGGCAGAGACGTCCACTGCGGGTCCTCTGCCGAAGGCTCCCAGCGCTCCGCAAATAGAGCAACCTGGAGCCCACAGTGTTTACGCATCCTGGCAGCACATACGAAGAACCTTCCCAGAGGCAAGCAAAATTGGCAGATGGTAAGGTAAGGGCGGTGCATATACCGCAAAACTGCTTGGTCTCTCCATGAATAAATAATCCCGCTGCGAGGCTGTGAGTAGTCCGGTCGGCCATCAAGCGCCAGCCTTAGTACTGTTTCTCCTTTGGAAGGTGAATGATAACAGACAACAAATCGGCCAAAGAAAACAACTGCTGTGAGTTCGCACGGTGCACGTCCTCCAAGGAAAGTGCAGACCAACAGCGATTGAAGTAAGTTCTGACGACCTCGCGCTTCCTCGCAACGATTCTTTCTACCCTCACCTCCCTTTGCTTTTCAGCTTTTGCGTCAGTGGATGTGCCTGATGCCCGGAATCACCGGTAAACCGGTGCGGAGCTCCTGACAGGTAAACTCACAACAGAGCATTCAAGGGGACAGGGAGGACCACAGGCTAGCCGGATACTCGGCAACACTGCCAAAAAATGCATGATCCACGGGAGGGGGGGCGCGAACGCAGACAGTTGGACAATTGAAGCCCGACCTGCAAGCCTAGAACCACCAGCGGCAAAAGCCCCTAAGCCCACCAATCCAAGTTTGTCAGAACACATCGCAAAGTTACGGCACCGCAGATTTTGCAGTATCGCCAAGTTGATGTTCAGGGCCCAGCAACATGCGCAAAGCAGCTTTTTAAAGAACCTCGCGAATAAACTCCAACCCGACAAACACATCCCTTCGGCAAGCCTGCCGGAAATCAATCGGTTTGGAGCCTGAATGCTGGACTTGTGACTGATGCTAACTTTGGAATTGAGAAGGCACCCGATGCCTCTTGCGTTGCTGCGGTAGTGGCAAGGTTATTGCCTGTCACGGGAAGATATGCTTCGCATGCAGTAGTGCGACGCAAGGCCTTTGCCGCAGGTGCGCCTTGTGCTGCGTGGCTCCCAGAACAGATGCACTCGTGTTGGTTTTGCGCAATATGATGATAGGGGTTTCGAGTTCCGGTTGGGGTAATGTTTTGGGGCTTTGGCTTGGTCTTGCATTCCCGGATTTATTCTAGATTCTTGCTGTGGGGTAGCCCCCCCGGCCCAAACGCCCGAGCGTCGAAGCTTGCGCTGAAGTTTAGCCCCAAAGCCGCGGAAGCTACGAAGATCCAGGTGCAACTTTGGGATTCTTGCAACCACCCGCTCCCTCCCAGGTTTCGGGTATTTTAAATCACCAAAAGGCACCCAGCCGAAGCTCCGACGCAAAGCCGGCAGCGAACCAAACCCAACGCGAAGCCGACACAGGCGCCAGCAGCAAAACCCCCAACGTAAACCCCCGTCCCAAGGCGAAACCCAAACAGTGTCGGGGCTTAGGTTTGTGGTTTGGGTCGCAGGATGTGGGCCTAGTGGGTTTCGGGCTGTAGTAGAGCTTTGCCTTCCTGGCAATCACTCAATGTTTTAGGGTTTAGGGATGTTGGGGCTTGTGGTCACACGCTTCAAGCTTTGAGCATTGCGGGTTCCCCAACTTCAGGGAGGGCTTGGGTTTATGACACCACATGCTGTGAGAAAGGTCCGGGTTCAGTGGATGTGAGGTACCGTGTTTGGGGTTCAGGCGTTTAGAGTTTATGCTTCAAGACTTTTGCGATAGGGAAGCAAGGTTTAAGCAATTTAAGGTTTGAGATTAGGCCTGCTGTTGATCCCGTGCATGTGGAGGCTGGGTAGGGTCCAAGCATTTTGCAGGTGTCTACGTTTTTGGTTCCTACGTCTGGTAAGTTGGTACATGCTCGTTTTTGAGTCCGGTTGAATCCTGGATGCCTTGTAAATTGCAGCCCTGCCTTGCAAGGCAGCTGGTACTCTCTTTCCCTGCTCCACTACCCTGCTCCTCCCCCTCCTACTTTCCTGCGACAAATACTAGGCGAGTAGCACGGGAGTCGCAGGGGAGTAGGAGGGGAGTAGCAGGGGAGTAGCAAGGGAGTGGTGGGGAGTAGCAGGGGAATAGCAAGGGAGTAGCAGGGGAGTAGCAGGGGAGTAGCAGGGGAGTAGCAAGGGAGTAGCAAGGGAGTAAGAGGGAGTAGCAAGGGGAGTAACAGGGAGTAGCAAGGGAGTGGCAGGGGAGTAGCAGGGGAGTAGCAGGGGAGTAGCAGGGGAGTAGCAGGGGAGTAGCAAAGGAGTAGCAGGGGAGTGGCAGGGGAGTAGCAAGGGAGTAGCAGGGGAGTAGCAGGGGAGAAGGAGGGGAGTAGTAGAGCAAGGGAGCAGCAAAGGAGTTGTAGGGGAGTAGCAGGGGAGTAGGAGGGGAGTAGCGGGGCAGTAGGAGGGGAGTAGCAGGGGAGTGGCGGGAAGGAGGGAGTAGCCGGGCCTCCCTCCCTCCTCCCCGACCCTTCCCTCCTGCTTCTATCCGGGAACGGGGCCGTGCAAATGATGCTCATCATACTTGCGCAGTGATGCTTCACTCATCCCCTAAGAGCAATGACTGGGGAGGAGGAAGTAAGGCCTTATTTGCTCCTCCCGAGCCCAAGCAAGACTGCTTACACGATGACAGACCCAAAGTTTTAGGAACCTCAATAATCCCTTGATAGGGTTTCAGGTTTGAGGAATTTCGGGTTTAGGGTTTCAATCTACAGTTTTTTGGGTCCAGGGTGCAGGTTGTTGCTTTTCGGCTTCAGGATGACGTTTGAATGTTGGTACGTGTGCGTGTGTGGATACAACTACAACGACTGGAGCTACAACAAGATGCTTTCACATGCGCATAGAACTACAATGTAGATGCATGTCGATCACCTGTTCGGGCTCCACAAACTCGTCGAACAATTTTGCTAAAGATCATCGACCTAATGAGCGATCAAATGGATGGGCTTCAGCAATTCTTCAACCACATCATCGAAAAACACAAACCACCGATCAGGGATGTGGGTTCTTCGAACAAATCCTGGAACAAAACATCCATCGCCGAAACCATCGATCAGTATATGTAGTTTGACCTGCAACATATCGTCGACAAATCATCCCAGAATCATCGCAAGAACCACTCTTCAGGAGGAATTTCGTCTTCAAGAAACTTATGCCATCACTTTATGAACCACCCTTCTTTCTTTTCGATTCAACACGGCTGGGGACGCCCATGGAGGCCGGTCGGTGTTTACGACGATCCAAGGTTCGTTCATTGATTTCCTATAAGACTGTTCGAAGCCGGAACTGTTCCCAGGAACATTTCTCCAAGATTCCTTCCAAGATCTTGCGGAGGGCTGATTTTTTTGGGAGATTGGTTCGACGACTATTGGGTTGACGTTTTGTTTTGTTCGATAATTTGCGAATATTTATTTTTCGCATAATTTCCTGCAGCCTACCAGAGATGGCGTTTTCTTGCCACTTACTGGGACATTCGTCGAACAATCGCCTGATTTTTTTCGACAAGCGTTCCAAGACCCACACTGGAATCACTCATTAACCAAGGCTCAACAAGGACAGTCTGGCACATGTGCATGCTACGAACTACATTGAGGAAGTGTGCATGCTACGAATCAGCGGCAAATTTGCGTAACTTCACAATTCAAAATGTGTATGCACTAAAACTGAAACCGAAAACTTAGCACCCGTTTGTAACGACAGGAGCAACAAGTT